TAAACGCTGACCTTTTATTGCATTTTTTATCAGAACTTGAAAACGCTATAAGCTTCGCTAACTTAAAAGTTTTACATCACAGCATTATTTCCCCTGATGAATTAAAATCCGTAATATCTCAATTACATCAGTCACATAGCGAATCTCAACTACTATTTTCTTTGTCAGATTACCTAAAATATTACGACATTGTTCGAACCAGTGTTTTCTACTCGAATAGGAAAATAATATTTTCGCTCGATTTTCCGTTAGTTCATTCCGAAACCTTTGACTATTACCACCTATATTCTATTCCAAACCAAAACCAGTCAATCATTATACCTCCCTCGACATACCTATCCTTAAGCAACAATGAATACCAGTACTCAGATGAAGAATGTACCGAGCTACAGCCAGGATTCCTCTGCAAGAAGAACCACCTACTACCACTTCGACAAAACCCCGATTGTATCACGTCACTGCTTTCTGTCGAAAACAGCATTCAAAATTGCCAACAAGTCCCAGTACGAGTATCTCAACACATCATAGAAGAAATCAATGAAAGCCACTACATAGGAATATTTCCCGAAAACGAAAAGATACAGATTTTCTGCGAAGAAAACGACGTTGCCATACTTCGTGGAAGCTACCTATTCATAGTCCCGCCAGATTGTGGAATCAAGACATCGGAATACACGTACAAAAACGAAAAAGGCCTAATAGTAGGACATCCAATGACGCTAGAAGAAATTCGTGAAACCAACATTCCAATACTACAAGTCAAGACACTTAAGCTAGAAAAAGTATCTCTTGACAAGTTGCACGAACTTCAACTGCAAGAGTCAGAAGAATCACCATTACAAGAAGTTAGAATTCATTCCGATCATTCAAGATGGTCCTTAACAGTCACCCTATTCCTGGTTACCACGATGTTAGTCTACTTATTAGCCACCCACCGAAGAAAGATAGCAAGCCTAGCCAAACGAGTAGTCTGTTCCACGCCAGAAGAAGACACTAGGGTAGCAGTCAACGCAACTCAAGTGGTTCCACCCTCGAGTTCCTTCTAAGGGTGGAGGAATTATGTATGGGAACATCATAAGCTACCATGTTCTCACGGGATATGCTGAGACCGCTGACGGATGCAGAATCAGTTTACGCTTTGCAGGAAACGAGACGTTCACCGACTAGTTCTCATCAGATTTGACATAGACTTCACACAGTAAAGACGCATTGTAACTTTCTCTCTAATAAAACTTCTACATTTTTGTGTTCAATAAATAAATTGATTTTTTAAAAAGCTTTTGGTGATAACCAAAAACATAAAGAGCGTTAACTATACGAGGTAGAAATAAACTTCAAGTATGGAATGGAGTTCTAAACAGTGGTTTCATACCAGTTTTTTACAAATGTATCATGCACGATAAAAGAGCAACAATCGCTGTTTCAATGGAGCAGTACTCTCAGAACAGTGGAACCATGTTGTGTTCCTTATGTCATTCAATTGTGCAACATATATGGGAATCTTTTTAATGAATTGCACAACCAAAATACAGGTAGTGCCGAAAGTTGGCGCATGTCCGGTAATCATTTAAGGTGCACACATGGTTGCAAGTCAAACAGCATACAGGGTAGGTCAAAAAATTTTAAAATTGCTCAAGATTAAAGTACCCTTATTTCGGAAAATTCAGTCAAATGTTATTGAGAATAGTTGTTAACAATTGAAAGTTATGCCTAAATACCAAAGCATGGCCTCCAAGACAATTTTCAGTTTTTAAATTAATTCTTTTCGTTAATAATTTCCCAATTTGTAATTTCTCTCATATTTACCCTAAACATTTTCATGAGTAAATCATAACAACACCAGTTGAGAATATCTTTGTTCGAATTAAGGAATATTTGTGCAATCAACTTGGATTTCAACTTTTTTAAGATATCACAAACTTTATCTTTGTTGCAACGATATTCAGCATAATAACTTCAAAATTTCGCAAAACATATTTTATACAAGGTGAAACATCATTGAAAGAGGAGTTATGTCACCAAACTGTCTCAATGTTTACTGTCAACCCTCATTTGTTTTGTTCCTTGGGTATTCGTGATTATTTCAAATGATATCATGGTTCTCGATTGATTTGTACAGCTTTTTCATAAACATTTCAAATACAGAATGTTCACATTGAATGAAAGTTTTTGAATTTGCAAATTATCATTAATGACGTTTTACCTTGTTGAGAATATGGTTTGCGAAATTTTAAAGTTAAGCTAAATATCGTTGCAACAAACATAAAGTTTGTGATTCCCTGAAAAAGTTTAAATCTAATTTAACTGCACAAATACGCTTGAATTTGAACAAAGGTATGATCAACTGATTTTGTTATGATTAACTTATGGAAGTGTTCAGGGTGAATATAAAAAAATTACAAATTGGGATATTATTGACGAAAAAAATTTAAGAACTCAAATATGCCTTAGGAGGCCATGTTTTGGTATTTCGGCATAACTTCCAATTGCAAATAACTTTTTTCTTCGATTGGCAGCAAATATCAATTTTGCTGACACATATCAATCAGCGAAGTATTACTTTTCCTGCCTGGGCAGCAAAGTGGGTACTTTGCTGATTGATATGTATCAGCAAAATTGAAAAATCCATGAATCGTTTATAATTTTGTTCATATTTCATCCGAGACTTCTCCGGCAACAAATTCAACTCTATATTTTTTGCCACCTCCCTTATTTCTGGGGGTGTAAGTATACTTCCAGGTCGCTATCACTGTCCATTATATAATAATTCAAATATACCGATATTTTTCCGCACAACTGTCAGAAATTTCATGAATTGTCAAACCAACAACTGCGATTACTATCAAATTTTATTTCATCGAACACTATACAGGAAAAATAAAGAGATTGTGGGAATTGTGATAATTCGCAAATACAATATTCTTCCATATCATTATGAACAATCGGAGAAAAAATTATATGTTCAACTCGGCAGCAAAGTAGATTGACTGCCTTAGCTGGATTCCTACTGGATCTACTACTTTGCTGCCTAGTTAAACAAATAACTATTCCCATTAACATTTTGCTGCATTTTCTGAAATAAGGGTACTTTGCTCTTGAACATTTTCATATTTTTTGGCATACCCTGTGAGCTGTTTGACTTGCGACCATTTCAAGTGCACCTGAAATGATCACTGAATATGCACCAACTTTTGGCACTATGTGTATTTTGGTTGAGCAATTAATTAAAATGATTCCCATGTTGCACACTTGAATGACAACACTGTATATGTCCTAATTAGACACAAATAATACTAATCTTAGTTTTCAGGATTTTCTAGGAACAATGGAGATTATTGCAGATTTCTCAGAATCGTGGGAGAATTTCATATTTGTTGCAGGACCATTCACTTTGGAACAGATAGATAAAGTGAATAGAATATGATGCAATCAACAAAACCAAATACTAATCAAGTTTTTTCAGAATATTCCTGAAACAATGCAAACTATCTCTGATGTCTCAGAATTTAAAATCCTGGATTTGCAAAAAATCCCCATTTGTTTGTACGACAGTACACTTCGAAACTCTAGATCTGTGAATGTCACACCAAATAGATGAATGAAATGAGATTTTTAAGATAAGTTTTCAAGAAAGTTGAATTTGTCTTTCCATAAATACAAATCATAGTTCTATTCTTCTTCGAACATTCCTTCGTAAAAAAGCGACTTTTATCGATTCACTAAATTCATTTCATCAGTCGAAGAATTAGTCGACAATCAATTATGTGAGTGTATGGAATCACGTCAGGTACCCTTACGAGGGGAGAGTATCAACTTTGGCGTTCGTAATGCCTCTCTACAAAGGAGGGTGTCGCCTTTAAGAGTTAGGTATAAACAGTGGCTCAATACCAGTTTTTTCCAAATTTATCATGCACTATGGAAAAGCAACAGTCGTTGTTTTTTAATGGAGCAGTGCTCTCAGAAGAGTGGAACCATGTTTTCATGCATATGTGATACAATTATTGCCTAATTAGAAACATATAATACTAATCCAAGGTTTTTTTTTCAGGATATTCCAGGAGCAATGAAATTTATTGCAGATTTCTCAGATTTCTCAGAAAAATGGAGGAATTTCATATTCGTTTGCAGGACCATTCACTTTGGAACAGATAGATAAAGGAAGGGTATGGTCCGTGGGCCAACCAGGTTAACTATCGCTGTACCACTGTGGTTAGAGATCGGTTGCTTGAGAAACTGTAAATTCACGGACCAACATATCAGCGATGTCAATTTAAGTGACAAAAAACACGCAAAAATTCTGGACTGACAATAATTGACAACAATATCGTTGATAACCGGAAAACCGATCTTCTAGGAAAGGTTTCTCTGGTGAAATAATCAGACCACTTCTTTCAGGAACCGAGGACCGTGGGAAATTTCCTACCCTTTTGATTTTGCCGCTGTTCCGCCCTGCGCTAATTAATTGGATTTCGATTCCTTTGATGCTGCCGCCTTACCGCGAGGTACTAATTAATTGTTTTTTAATTGGCGTACTATCAAATGAAGTCTTACAGAGTCATTGAACTATGTAGCGGACAAATCAGAACATGAATCGGGGTGTATATATAAAATAGGCCTTAATAATTCAGGGGTCGTCTAGAGTAGAATAGTTCAAATTCCAGAATAAGAAAACTATATTACACAGGTTGGGACATTGGTAGATATATATGGGGTTGATGATATTAAGTTTCCAATGAAAAATATAGAAAGACAGATAAATCCAAATGTCTGTTTGATATTTATTGTTGTCTAATGGAATGGAATAATACAGAGGATAGGATTTTGCTGGATATACAGGGTTGATGAAATTGAGTGAATTCGATGACAGATTAATCAAAATGTCTGCTTGCTATTGGTTGGAGTGTAATGTAATGGAATAAATAGAATGATAGAGAGGATAGCACATTGGTAGATATATACGGGGTTTAAGAATTTAATTATTATTTATTATTTATTGCTTGCTATTGGTTGGTGTGTAATGGAACGGTTAATTTGACACCGCTCGGTTTTTTCCTCGGTTTTTTCAGATGGACCGGTGAACCGTATCTTTGGTAGGCTGACGGACCATACTCTAATAATGTGAAATCGAGTGTGAAATGGTTGAACTGAGAGCATTTATCATGTCCAACATGCCTGTCAGAGCAATTATCAAAACCAGGATCAATGGCAATGACGGCTAGATATTTAGACTGTCTGACGGGTTATCCACGATGAACAGGTAGAAAGTCCTGTCAAATCCCATCTACTGTTTTTCGGTCAACGTTCTTGACCTACGGCCGAGCCTTCGGCCTACTTGACAGAAGGATTCTTTTCAATATCACGGAATATAGGTCGCATTTTACCCGTTAAATGGCGAAATCTCAACCAAAATTCAAGGTTGGTAGAACTGATGATTTGCTAAACTGGCTGAAGTTGATCTTTTTCTCATAGTTGTCTCTGTTCATGCCATGATGTAAACAAAGAGTCATAGAAAAAAATCAAGTTCAGCAGGTAGAGCAAGCACAAAGGAACAGGCCTCTTGTGTTATTTCTGGTGCAAGGGGTGTATGTATAAGGGCCATTTTCTGTTTTATGTTATGAAAGAAATCTGTAAAAAGTCTCGCCATCTTATGGACAACTGAGAACTAATATGTCATTATTAGGGAATCTTGAGGTCAAGGGTTTTGGGAGAAACAAAACATGTGTCTGTGATTAGTGTGATTACACCACCTTGATCAAAACATCAATATCAAAACATTGACCAGTCTGACTCCACATTGATGTGTGTTGCACTGATAATTTCATTAAAAAAACATGTGCTTCTGAATGTTGGAATCAAACATAAATAAGCAAAATAGGGTATCAATAAAAAATGAATCACTTGATAAATCATGATTTCATAGGAGCATCAATCATTTTTTCTAAAATTTTCCAATTTCTTTTTCATGGGCATATGAATTGTTTCTGAGATGATTCAACAATGCACTTACTTTCAAATCCAATGTGAGCAAACATTGTGACTACACACTTAGTCAATATTTGCTTGAGAACAGCTTCACTTAGTTCTGGTATGTCAACTTCTAATCCACAACTGAATGCTCTAAAATGCAGGTTTTTATGAAGGCTCTCATATCAAATTAATAATAAATGATCATAAACTGATTCATGTAGCTCATTGGCAGATGAACATATCAAATTAATGATAATAATAAAATAGTAAAAAAAATTGTGCAAACAGGTTTTCAAGGGTTTCATAGGAGGTTTCATATGAAAGGTTTTTGAATGACAACCAAACATCACTAGATTCTTAATGAGAAACTAACTCACGTGAAATCTTTTGGTATATAATTCAACTTATTTCTTTTATGTCTGAGTTCTATTTTTGGCATGATTGGCATTGGTGGTGCTGCATCTTCTGGTGGAATGAGATTCATATCTGTTGCCAATTCAGTCAGTTTTGTCATGTCATTAGCATACTTATGCAGAGAAATCGCATACATCATCAGGGGATCCATAGGGGGTAACCTGAAACGTTATGAAAATGAAGGAACAGGCTCTTCTTCTGCTCTGCATTTCAAGCTGGTTGCTTGGCAGGATATGCCCTTCCTAAGGGGACTAGAGACATTTTGTTATTGAAATCTTACAACTCTTACACAATGCTTTCCACTTTTTCACTGTCTTTATCTTCCTGGTATTCATCTAAACAGTTCTTGTTCATGGAAAGCTCAATATCTGCAGATACATCTGGGACAAAGATATCAGTCTTTGGTCCTATTGGAATTTCTCCCCAATGTTGTGTGGTCATATTTTCTAATTCTAAAACACTTTCGCTCTAAAAATCCTTCAAAAACTGGTGATTTTTATTTTTGTCTTCACTAATTTAACCTAAAATATAAATGTCAAAACAAACGATATAACATAACCTTGACCCTTGTTCTTTTCTTCTTCTTAATATTTTCTTCACTGTCAAGAAGTATGTGTCACGACAGGACGACCGTAAATAGACAAGCGTCTAGCTAAACCAACAAATCTCTCAAACATCAAGGTTATCAGAAGGTTATTCTATTCGTGTTTATAAGACTTATTTGTCTTAAATTAACCATTTTCCTACAAAGTATATTCTTGAAAATTTCTTTGAGTGGAAATAATCAAAAAAAGGACCCTCGCAGGAATTGAACCTCAGTCACTTCATTGGAATTCAGGATACACAGACCACTAAGCTATCGGTTTAAGGTCTCTAAGCATCTTAGACAACAAAGCGCACCTTATGTGCCCATTTGTGCGTCGGAAGCCGAATATCGGATGATGATATTGGAACTGTCTGCAGGCCTTCGTACTTTTTGACCTTGAGTCAGATGTCACTGTGTGTCAAGTGTCAATGTCGATTGTCCAAACAGTGGAAAGTGAAAACTTTGGAAAACTATAAACAAACAAAGTGGTGAATGTGAAAAGTGGACTTCAATAAGTTCTAATATATTAATATTTATTGTATTATAGTTCATATATAATTATTGAATTAAAAAATACATTCAAATTGGGGTGTTTGAATTCATTGGTAAGGGCTCTTGTCTATCAATTTCCATTTACAGAAATGGAAACGATATTGGAACAGCAACGTCGGTACCATGAGGAAAAAGAACGTTTGGTGGATTCCATGGTGAAGGAAATGTTGCACAAAAAGAATACCGTAAGTTACTGCTACTTGGATCATTGAAAAGTGTAAAATATCCTGTGTTTCAGTACCGGGAAGCAATCAATTCAGATCACAGATTGAAATATCTCTTGGACAGATACCTCACTTCCACTGACCGCTTGATTGAGTTGTATGAGGATAAGGATGGTCAGAGGAAGGCTGAAGTGGCTTCTCTTACAGGGCCAAATGAATTCCAAGAGTTCTATAACAGACTGAAGCAGATCAAAGACTTCTACAGGAAGCACCCCAATGAGGTAGGTTAACCTCTCTTGAAACTATTCTAACATTGCTCTGAATGATTTTAATGTTCATTTTAGATCAGTGTGCCAATGTCTGTGGAATTTGATGAATTTTCCAAGGCTAGGGAAAATCCCAATGAGGATATGGCAAGTGAGTTGCTAATAAGAAAACTCAATATAATCATTGGATTTTATACTGTTGTGTTTCAGATTTTGTGGAATTCACTGATGAAGAGGGGTATGGAAAATATTTGGATTTACATGAATGTTATGAGAAGTATATCAACCTCAAAGGCATTGAGGTTAGTAATTTCTTCCCTTCTGAAATGAACCATAACAGTTGATAAAAGCTATCCCAAACTATCTTGTTCAGGAAATACAATATTCCATTAAGGAAACATTTCCTAAATGAATATTGTCTCTGAAAAACACATGTTTGAGTGGATGTTAATTTTCATGAAACTCTGCATTCTATTTCTAATTTTGTTCAGTAGCATATTTCCTGCTCAGATTTATTCATGTATATTTTATTCACATGATGGTTTCTTGAGTAATTAGTTCACAGAACACCCTGAATAATTCAATTGATTTCATGTCCATCCAAGTGTCCATAAGAGACTGTAGAGAGACAATATTGTTTTTATTCTAATTTGTTCATTGTTCAAAAATGTGTCTATTAGAAAATTAACCCTGCAGATAAAATATTCCTAGTCTCCATAGCTGATTTCTGTTCTCTGTCAATGTGTTTTCAAAGTGCCAAATTTTCAGATTCCAGAAAAAACTCCTATATGTCCATTGTCCCTGAAGTTGGTTTTTTCATCTTGTTGTGGGTGGTGAAAACTTCATTATTCATTAGATTTGAGACACAAATGTGTATACATTTGGAGTCCTTGTGATATTTACATTGATCCAGATGGTTTTCAAGTGGTTTTCAATAAGGAATTCAGCAACTTCTCAAATTGGCAAGAAAATTCATATAGTTTCCATCTGATACAAATGTGTATAGATTTGGAATCCTTGTAAAATTTTACATTGATCTAGATTGTTTTTTATGAGAATTTGACCAATTCTTCAAGATTGGAGTGAAAACCAGTAACTTTCTCCTCCATTAGATGAGAGACATGAATGCTCCCATGAATGTGTATATATTGGGAGTCCTTGTGATGTTTGACGTCGATCTAGATGGTTTTAAATAAGGAATTTGGCCATTTTCCAAATTTGTCATTTGCCAAAAATTGTTGAGAAAATCATTGATTTTTTTATCCCTTGGATTAGAGATAATAAATTGAAAGTAAAAAAAAACTTTTTAATAAAAAGCTTTTATTTAAATGCTCTAAAAAGAAGAAAATGAAATTTTTCTTAATAATTTTAACTATCAACTTATAACCTCATTATACACAATTTATATGATCATAAAAGTTTGTCAGGTGATTCACTTGTGTGAATGAACTAGTACTTATTTAATTATGTGAAATCTTTTGAGATAAAATTTTTAAAATCACAATTTAATTAAATATTGATCATCGCAACAAGCTTTCATGATCATATAAATTGTGTAAAATGAGGTTCTAAGTTGATAGTTGAAATTATTAAGAAAAATTTCATTTTCTTCTTTTTAGAGCGTTTAAATAAAAGCTCTTTATTAAAAAGTTTTTTTTTTTAATTTTGTTTTATTTTTTAAATTTTAGTTATCCCTAGCTGGATTTTTCGATTTACTCCTCAACGAGCCTTTTCATTTGATACCCATATTGTAGAACTATATTGAAAATGACCATTCCGCCATCTTGGATGGTCCGCCATAATGGATTTATAATGACGTCACATCATTTTTCGAGTTACTCTTAACGAGCCTTTTCATTTGATACCCATATAGTAGACGTATATTAAAAATAGCTATTCCGCCATCTTGGATGGTCCGCCATCTTGGATGGTCTGCCATATTGGATTTAGAATAACTTCACATTATTTTTCGAATTACTCTCAACGAGCCCTCTCATTTGATACCCATATTGTAGAAGTACATTGATAATGACCATTCTGCCGTCTTGGATGGTCTGCCATATTCGATTTAGAATGACGTAACATCATTTTTCGAGTTACTCTCAACGAGTCTTTTCATTTGATACCCATATTGTAAAAGTATATCAAAAATAGCTATTCCGTCATCTTGGATGGTCCGCCATATTGGATTTAGAATAACGTCACATTATTTTTCGAATTACTCTCAACGAGCCCTTTCATTTGATACCCATATTGTAGAAGTAGATCAAAAATGACCATTCCGCCATCTTGGATGGTCCACCATATTCGATTTAGAATGACGTTAAATCATATTTCGACTCACTCTCAACGAGTCTTTTCATTTGATACCCATATTGTAGAAGTATATTAAAAATAGCTATTCCGCTATCTTGGATGGCCCGCCATATTGGATTCAGAATAACGTCACATTATTTTTCGAATTACTCTCAACGAGCCCTTTCATTTGATACCCATATTGTAGAAGTAGATTGAAAATGACCATTCCGCCATCTTGGACGGTCCGCCATATTCGATTATGAATGACGTCACTTCATTTTTCGAGTTACTCTCAACGAGCCTTTTCATTTAATACCCATATTGTAAAATCATATATCAAAAATAGCTATTTCGCCATCATGGATAGTCCGCCATATTGGATTTAGAATAACGTCACATTATTTTTCGAATTACTCTCAACGAGCCCTTTCAAAATGACCATTCCGCCATCTTGGATGGTCCGCCATATTCGATTTAGAATGACGTTAAATCATTTTTCGACTCACTCTCAACGAGTCTTTTCATTTGATACCCATATTGTAGAAGTATATTAAAAATAGCTATTCCGCCATCTTGGATGGCCCGCCATATTGGATTCAGAATAACGTCACATTATTTTTCGAATTACTCTCAACGAGCCCTTTCATTTGATACCCATATTGTAGAAGTAGATTGAAAATGACCATTCCGCCATCTTGGACGGTCCGCCATATTCGATTATGAATGACGTCACTTCATTCTTCGAGTTACTCTCAACGAGCCTTTTCATTTGATACCCATATTGTAAAATTATATATCAAAAATAGCTATTTCGCCATCATGGATAGTCCGCCATATTGGATTTAGAATAACGTGACACACCTTATCGTACATTGTCATCCAAACTGAACGTGTATACAAAATTTCAGCTCAATCTGTTGAAGATTTCTACTTCAAAATTGAGCTCAAAGATTCCACCTGAACATACATACATACATACATACATACATACATACATACATCCATACAAACATACAATGCAAGTTGAATAAAAGCTTAAAAAAAAATGTATATAGATTGGAAATCTGCCTGACATTTTGCATCGATCTAGATAATTTCTGATGAGAAATTCGGCAATTTTAATCCTAGTGACAGCTTACGTCGATCTAGATGGTTAAAGATAAGGAATTCTGCAATTTCTGGAAATTGACAAGATAATCAGTGACTCTTTTATCTGTCAGATGAGAGACACGAATGTGTACGAGATTCAGGGTCTTCAAGACATTTTACGTCGATCTAGATAGTTGTCAAGAGAAATTCAACATATTTTGAGAATTTGAGGAAAAATCGAAAACTTTGTTATCCCTCAGATTATGATGTGTTTATAAAAGTAGTGTGTTTTTCATAAATACCCAGTTCATAAATTATCCAATTGATTTGAATCTGTGATTCTTCATTAGTATTTTCATATATGATTCTCAAATTATCCCCTTTTATTTGCATTTTGTTTCTACTCGTCATCACGTGACGGGTATGTCCGGAATGACGGCAGCACAAAAAATCGCTGTGCGGAGGATTTGACTCAGATTGAGGAAGAGCATGAGATTTTTTATGGAATCGCGAAATTTAGTGCAGATTACCGCACAGGAAAGTGCCATTTTTCGATCATTTTGCCCAAGATAGTGATGCACAGGTTCAGTTTCATAAAATACAATGTTTTTACATGCCTTTGAGACATTATGACATTTCTCAAGGCATTTCTTTATCAGAAATTTGCAGTCAACTCTCCTACTATAACGTGAAATGACAGGAAAATTCTGAATCTATGAAAATTATTGGCCTTATCTTGCCAATTCAATAATAGTTATTTAACCAACTAGTGTATTAATGAGGAAGATTAATGTTCGGGATCATTAATCGCCTTTTAATATACAAGTTGGTTACAAAATTTTTCCGTCGACTATACTTTTCATTTCTCCTGCAATGAAGAAAACTTTGTTCGCGAATTCATCATTCATCCGGAAACTGCTAAGAATCACCCAGTAGCCTTGTTACTGACATTAGTGACATTTGACATTTGTCGAAATGATCAAAATAGAAAATAAATTCCTTGTGTTAGAAAACGGGGATTAAAATCGTGTCAAAAACTTGGAAAGGCGAACCCGTTAACGGAAAATCTTGGATGAAATCCATATTTTCGATTTAAATAAAGATTCCGTAAGTTATAGCATAAACAATGAATGCACGCGGTGTATGTTTGGTTGCCTATAAAACAATCGTGCATCAATAGACAAATCGTTCATTAATAGGGGTCATTAATGAACGATTTCATATACATTAAACTTAGACGTCGAGTTAGTCGTTAATACAAGGTCGACGGAAAAGATATAAACTCATGGTAGAAGGAAGATGGTGTAACCAATCTTCAATAGAAAAGTTGAGTTATAGTGCTGACAGAAACAATATTTCTTCTCATTTTGTCTTCATAGTTTCAACGTAAAATAATGAAAATTTTGTGTTGCCAACACTAAAGTGAGAGAGAGAGAGAGAGAAGAGCTTGTCTTTGAAAATGTTCTTTTTATGTATTAGTATTTTTCTTTTGTGTGCATTTCTATAAAAGCTTGTTTTTGCTTGTAATTTTAAAATTATCCAACAACAAACGCACCTGCATACCAATTTTGAACATAATCGGACCATAATCACAAAACTCATTCGCCATTGTGAAGCTGTCATCTTGAATTTCCCAATTTTGACGGAAGAATAATATTTTCCGACCTTGAAAACCCCATGATATCAATTCTGAATAGAAGCAGATCATAATGACAAAACTCGTCAACCATATTGGATCCACCATCTTGATTTATTAATTGTTGATGAAGGAATCATAATGTCCAACTTTGAAAGCCCCCAGATACCAATTTCGAATAGAATCGGATCATAATTACAAAGCTCGTCCGCCATATTGTATCCGCCATCTTGAATTTCCACTTTTCGACGAAATAATCGTGATCTCCGACCCCGAAAACCTCCAAATATCAATTTTGAATAGAATCAGATCATTATTACAAAACTCGTACGCCATATTGGATCAGTCATCTTAAATATTCTAATTTTGAAGAAGGAATCATAATCTCTGACCTCGGAACTGCACTGACTTCGCACGACCTATTAGAGCTCGTGCAAGAATTGTTGCCAACCAGTTTTCCAATGGAATTCAAAATCCGACACCAGTTTTACCAATGGAATACAAAAAATGCACTCAGTGCGAGCCAGTTTTACCAATGGAATTCGCTATCAGACTTGTTTTTCCGTAGTTTTCAGTGTCATCAGTTTGTCATCTAATGACCTTGGCGACCGCGCGAATGATTTCTGTTTCACAGAACTAAAATGATTGAAATATATCATCTCGATATAATCTTGGTCCCTGGGTGATGATAATAATAATAATATAAGTTTATTCAAGAACGTTTACAAAATTTACATTGGAATAAACGGATAGGTAATTTGAATAAACTGGGAAAAACCTTACGAAGTTAACCGTGTAGTAAGGATAAAAAAATAAATAAATGTACATATGTCAATAAATATTTAACAATATCAAATTATCACAAGAGAAAAATTCACTAATTTATAGTGTACTGAGCATTTCATTGATATTCTTTACTACCTTGGTTCATAAATAACTATTTAGCTCGTGTTCATCATTGTTAATTGCAAAATCAAGCGACAAATTACAATAATCAGTCTTTATCAAGTTGTAGACAATTGGATCTCATTATAGCACTACATTTGTTAGAAAGTCGACTATATTATGTATCTCGGGACGTTCGATCAACTGTACAAAATCCCTAAAGAAAGGAAGATGGGCGAATACCCCAAATATTTGCTCATCGAATCAATGGATCAAACTACTGATGAATATAGTGAAATAAAATGAGTTCACTAGCCCATTGGGAGAAAATAGTTTTGAGTTCATGTTCATCAATGTTAATTTCAATATCCTAATGAGTCCTTATCAAGTTGGAGGCAATAGAATTTTTTCCACTACTATAGCTATAGAACATACCATTAGTTACACCTTTTCAAGGCGTAGAGTGTGTTATTTCTACCAAGGTAGTTTTCGTCATTTTATGAACTACTTACTGTCCGGCGGCTTCGCATGGTTACTGTACCCAATTGAAATGAATTAAAAGTGAAAAAAAATTTTCAATAAAAAGCTTCAATTTAAACGCTCTCAAAAGAAGAGAATGACATTTTTCTCAATAATTTCAACTATCAACTTATAACCTCATTATACACAATTTATATAATCATAAAAGTTTGTCGCGCGATTCACTTGTGTGAATAAACGAGTACTTATTTGATTATATAAAATCTGCTGAGCTGAACTTTTTAAAATTACAAATCAATTAAATATTGATCATCGCGACAAGCTTCTTTGATCATATAAATTGTTTATAATGGAGTTATAAGTATATTGAAAATAGCTATTCCGCTATCTTGGATGGTCCGCCATATTGGATTTAGAATAACGTCACAATATTTTTCGAATTACTCTCAACGAGCCCTTTCATCTTATACCCATATTGTAGAAGTAGATTAAAAATTACCATTCTGCCATCTTGGATGGTTTGCCATATTCGATTTAGAATGACGTCACATCATTTTCTTTCCAAGTTACTCTCAACGAGCCTTTTCATTTGATACCCATATTGTAAAAGTATATCAAAAATAGCTATTCCGCCATCTTGGATGATCCGCCATATTGGATTTAGAATAACGTCACATTATTTTTCGAATTACTCTCAACGAGCCCTTTCATTTGATACCCATATTGTAGGAGTAGATTAAAAATGACCATTCCGCCATCTTGGATGGTCCGCCATATTCGATTTAGAATGACGTCACATCATTTTTCGAGTTACTCTCAACGAGCCTTTCCATTTGATACCCATATTGTGAAAGTATATCAAAAATAGCTATTCCGCCATCTTGAATAGTCCGCCATATTGGATTTAGAATAACGTGATTCACCTTATATACAAAATTTCAGCTCAATCGGTTGAAGATTTCTACTTCAAAATTGAGTTCAAAGATTCCACCCGAACATACATACATACAAACATACAATGCAAGTTAAATAAAAGCTTTTAATTAAAAAATAAGATATTTGTTGCAGTCGTTATGAGCTATGCTCGTCTCTACAGTACATATTCTTTTGTGAGAAATAAATTTGGCTTACCTTCAGCTACTATATACTTGCACCTATTTCCATTCTCTCAGTATATCTTGTATGTTTTTGTTGTTTTACGTGATAGAAATTTCAACACAATCGGTCATGCCGTTTACTAGTTGACGTACCGACAGCTGCGCCACCTACCGCGTCCATTTGTATTTTTAAATCATCCAGGAAACCATCGAAAATATCAATATAAAATTTCAACCCAATCGGTTCAGCCGTTTAGAAGTTGGGTATGTGAAAAAGATAAGTACGGAAGGATAATTCTTACTATCCGTTGTCCTATTACACCCGTTTTCGCGTAGAAATAAAGCATTTTCCCTTGTTAAAAAGTAACCTATGTTCATCAGGGATAATGTCGGCTTCTGATGGTAACAAAAATTTCAAGTCGGTCCAGTAGTTTCGGAGCCTATTCAATACAAACAAACAAATATTTCCTAGTCAATAAGGACATAGCCACCTTGGTTACAATTTGTTTAATCTATGGTTATAATCAACTCAAATTCCCTATTATGATGCGAGATTTGCCGGAATGATACTCGAATCTCGTAGGTATTTATCACTAACGACTTGTCATATACTTTCATGGTCATTACTGGTAGATTTCAATTTGAATTGAAAAGAGACTCTTTCATATTCACAATATTTCATGTCCACAGTACTATAATGATTGAAATATATTGCGTGTGGTGAAAACAAAAATATACACCTTGGTAGTGATAGTACATTATTCAACAAGCACATAATAATAGCAGCTCATTATATGCGAGCAGAATACTAGAGTTTATCTACGACTGTTGTATGAAATATTCATAATACATGCATGTACTTCCTCGATCAAAATGATAGTTATTTTTCACACCAGTGATAGTTGCGGTGAATAACCATTATTCACTGGTGTAGAGTTTCTATAGTGGGTTTGCGGTATAACAACAGATATCTTGAATTCTCAGTTTGCCAATGTCAAATGAGTTATGAAAAAAGAAAATTGTTGTTAAGAATAAATATATATATATTAAAGACGATAATAGTCGTGGACAACATTTTTTGCAGAAACGGGAGCCCTATAAGATGGATCACCGAATCCCGGACGTGAAATTTTATTATTATTAAGATTGTAAGATTCAAAGTTTTGGCGAACACGCCGGAACACATCTCGAGTGTATTATAAATATTTTATCCACTACTGTTGTATGAAATATTCATAACAAGTACTTCCTCAAGCAAAGCAGTAGCCATTTTTCACACCACTGAATAATAGCAGTAAATAACCATAATTCACTGGTCTAGAGTTCCTAGGGTACGCGATATAACATATAAGGAACTTAAGACCAGTGAATAATGGTTATTCACCGCTATTATTCACTGGTGTGAGAAATTGCTTCCGTTTTGCTTGAGGAAGTGCAACAGTCGTGGACAAACAATTATTATTACAGGTATCTTCAATTTTTAGTTTTCTTAATGTCAAATGAGTTATGATATAGCAGTTGTTGAAAATCAATTTATATATCAAAGACAATAGTAGTAGACAAAGTATAGTATTCTACTAGCATATAATGAGCTATAATTCACGAAGTTTGAGTTTATGTCACGAGCGTAGCGAGTGGCATTATTGACCTGAGTGAATAATAGCCCCCATTATATGTTTGTTGATTAATATACTATGATCCACGTCTGTCGTATAAAATATTCATAATACATGTATCGCATACTCTACTCGCAGAAACGAACGAGGAAGAAATGTTGACAACATAAATATAAACTTGGTAACAATTCTCGAATGGGGATCCAATAACTTGGTAGATTTTGATGCAAACAAAACACAAGCATGCCTGTTCTCTAGAAAAGCCGATCTCACTGTGCCCAACATAAGCTTGTCAGGAGTAACCATACCTTTGAAGACATTCATTTCGAGGCTTGGTATTACTATCAGTAATAACCTTTCTTGGGAAAATCACGTGAGATCAATTGCTAAAAGTGCATCTCAAAATCTTGGTTTTCTGTTTTGGGCCAGGATCTATTTCACTTCCAGTCAGCTGCTTATGATCTATATGGCACAGATCCGACCTGTCCTGGAATACTGTTCCCATATTTGGAGTGCAGAACCCAAACATACCCTGAAACTGTTGGATTCTGTTCAATGAAGGGCAATTTTTCTCGTGGGTGATGCCTCGCTCACAAACTCACTCACTTTTCTGGAACACCGTTGAAAAGTTGGCGATCTGGCCCTATTTCATAGATATTTCCATGGACGATGCTCTTCTGAAATATCAACAATTTTTCTTCCCTTGGCAGCCCCTGCGAGATTAACCCGTCGAGTTGAGGCTTCGCACCCCTTCGTGGTCACTTTGGAGACCTGCAGAAATTTAAGAAGAACACCAATTCCTACCTTATTTCCCATGGATCTCACGATGTTCTCTGAACATTACAGGATATCCCTTTTCGTGGGAACCAGAACATAAAAAATGAGCTATTATTCATTCAGGTTAACCTTAGTGAATAATAGCCCTCATTATATACTTGTTGAACATTATATTATTATACAACAGCCGTGGATGAGAGAATATTATTACCACGGGACCTAATACCCCTGGCTGAGTCCTCGGGATATAATCTTGGTCCCTGTCTCATAATGATACTTTATTACTTACCACCTTGGTGTATAAATAACTATCATTATCGCACTAATTTTTTTAGAAAGTCGACTATATCACGTACCTCGGGACGTTCGATCAACTGTACGAAATCCCCAAAGAAAGAAAAACGGGCGAATATCGCAAATATCTGCTTTGTCTCATCGAATATCTGACGTGGTTCGTTCAGAGGATCAAACCTCTAATGGACTTGGACAGCGATCTGCAAGAGGAAGTCGATCAAGTTTTGAGCATGTGGGAGACGGGAACCATTCCTGGATGGCCGGTGAGTATTTTTTTTCAGGCCCAACCGTTCATGTAAAGAAGCTAGGAATTTTAACACTTATTTCCCGAATGTCTCTTCACCAACGAAACACCCCTGTACCTATAGAAGATTAGATTAGATTTAGAATGGGGCCTTCGGACTATCTGCCTCCACACCGCGACCTTTTCAGGTATATTGTGTCTGCCCTCAAAATCGATTAGAGTTCTTCGGCTAGCCCCGTCTTCTCTATGAGACTCCATAGGCTAGCTTTCAGATCCCTTGTGTATCTTTGTATGACTCTGTATATTCATGCAGTCTAATTTTGTATATAGTTTTATTTTGATGCAATTGCATCGATAGTATGCAAGGTGAGCCCTTACCCTTGATTTTAATTTATTAGTTTCTAATTATTTATATCTATATATGTATGTATTTGTTAAAAATTGTTATTTGCTTCTGACACATTGTACAATATTCGTATTGTTCATATTACTTTGTCAATGAGAATTCATTCTTGGACAATAAAGTATATAATATCTATCTATCTATCTATCCTGGTTTTTCCTCACCCAGCGTAAGGAACCTTAGTCTTGACAAGCCCTTGCAGTGGCAAAGTAGGTGTACTGCTGTTTCCTCCTCTTCCTGACAGAACCTGTATTGTGTCCCGTTCTGTTCATTTTATATGTTAATAGTATAGACAGTGTTATAAAAGAAAGTCATTATACTGCATACGCCGATGATTTTTCATTTGTGATCTCTACGCGTGATTTCAAAATATTAGAAAATTCATGTACTGGCTCAGTAAGTCAGGTATCAGATTTCCTCAACAACCATGATTTATTTTTTAATGTCGACAAGACAGAGATTGTTCGTATCCACAATATTCAAAACAAAATAGAAGTTAGTTTCACTGTTGATAGCATGACATTAAGGAACACTAATCAGAGTGTGAGATTCTTGGGTATTTTTCTGGATGAGTTCCTTAACTGGAAGGTTCATTGTCAGCAATTAACTTCCAAGCTCAACTCTCTGAAGTTCCTTTTCATCAATCTCCGATCAGTTTTCAGTAAGGATCAATTACTAAACATATATTTTGCTCAAGTAGAATCTAGATTGAGGTATGGTGTTAGTTTCTGGGGTGGATCAACTGCTACAATGGAAGTGTTCATGGCCCAGAAGTGAATAATACGGTGCATAGCAAATGTTTCATCTAGAGAATCATGTAGAAGACTCTTCAAGGAATATAAAGTTTTGACATTGACATCTCTTTATTTCTTTGAATTATGTGTATATGTTTTCAAAAATAAATCAACTTTTACAATGAATCAGAATCTACATAACCATAACACAAGAATTAAGAATCACTTTCATTTGTCGTTAGCAAGGTGTAAAGTGAGTTCATCTACCCCGGACTGCATTGGACCTAAAGTATTCAATAAACTTCCTGAAGATTTGAGGTCTGTGAAACACATCATTATGTTCAAAAAGATGTTGAAACACTATTTATTGGAAGCATGTTTTGATACAATTTCAGAATTTTTAGAATAAGATTAGTTTTAGGTATTATCGATTCTATTCTATCACTAATTTCTCTTCTCTATCTAGCTCTTTCATCATTTTCAACTACTGATTTATATCTTATATCATATCGACAATTCCCATACAATGTTATTTGTCGAAGTGGAAATAAAGTATTATTATTATTATTACCTGCACAGCAGTTGTTCGGTCAGACCTATCGTACTCATATGTTTGTTGAGCCTACAATGCCCTGTGAGAAGTCCCACTAGTATTCTAGTTGAACTTCGTTTCTGGCTCAGTAGATATCCTGTGAATGTTGGCGATGGTTTTTTAGTAAACTCTTTTGCCTGTCTCATTCCTGGCGAGTTGTTCCACCATTCTTGAGATTTGGTTTGCATCCATGATTTGATACTAGTTTTTTGTATAGCTTTCGCAATACCACAGAAGGGTTCTGGACCATTCAGAGCTTTGTTTGCTCCTGCTCGGGCGAGTGAGTCTGCCTCTTCATTGCCCTCGTACCCTGTATGTGCTGGTACCTATGCTAGAGTCAGTCTGTTCTGACTGCCCAGTTCATTCAGGGTTTCTAAGCAGTCCCATAATAGTTTTGAGTTCACTTGCATAGAGTTGAGTGCTTTGATTGCCGCCTGTCTATCTGAATAGATTGCAATGGTTTTGCCTTTGAATTCTTGCCTTATCAATTCTTTCACGCAACGATGTATTGCAATAATTTCTGCCTGAAACACCGTCGCGTACTAAGCTCAGTGAGATTCTTGTCTTTGGCTTGGCCCCATACCTATAGAAAATATCGATGTGAATCATTGTTGGAATCGGATTGAAAAAAGTCATTTCCTAAAAACACTTGTATCTTTCTCTTCAAAAGAATATATTGACGTGACGTGAAAAGATGTAGCTATGACGCGTCTGAACTGCCATCCTAAAACAACTTTTTTTTTTCACGAACATTTGCCTAATTTACAGTTGCAAATATAAATTAGGCGATATTTAGAAAGGTATTTGAGTAATGATTTTATTCAAAAAATGAAAAAAAATATAGTCCGCTCGCCTATTGAAAAACGGAAATTCTTTCTCAAACACGAATATATAAAAAATTCTCCCTCGTCTTCGATTCGGGTAAATGTTCAAATTACTCGTGTTCTAGAAAAAAAAATCCGGTAATAATTGAAGCTCTCATGCTAATATAATAATTGAAAATTCCACACCAGTGATTTTTATATGGTTAAATTGGGTTTTTATGACAAATTACCATAGCAACATATGTATTTAAGTGGAAATTTTTTCGTCATTGGTACCCACCAGCGTATGAAATCGGAATTTTTTTTATGACGTTTCAATGACAGAATGATATTCTTACGTCCTGAAATAGTGATTTTGTGCCACTTCAATTGGGTAGAAATCAACAATTGATAGGCTAAGAATCCATTGATGTCTTAACTGCATCTAAAAAAAAAAAAAAAATATATAGAATGTCATACCACTACCTGGGCCAGTGTAAGGCGTTATGAAAGGCTAAAATTCGAAATATTGTCACGACATAACAGGGTTGCTTCCACCATATCGATTTATAAGGGGTAATGCTTGGCTTAATAGTTTGCGAGAGGTAATATTCGAATAGGCACTAATAGATTAGGGGTAACTGAAAGTACGAGACTATATTCAAACATAACAATATGTATTGAATCATGAAACATTATGGGTAGCGGTAGCGATGCCAAATATTGAATAAACAACAATGAATATAAAGACCTAATAACAACATACATTATAACGACCATTACGACGAGCTCTTGTCAAGTCAAGAGTAGCCCCAGCCCCAGACCAGAATAACTTCGGAACCCTCACATCCTATATTTATATACATCTTTTTATTATACAGGGTGTTTCAGGTTTTTGTAGCAGGACTTCAACAGCTTGAAGAAGACATTTTTTCAAGATGAAAATCTCATACAACATATATGCGTGGAAGCTCCGTTTCCAATTTACAGGGTGTCAAAGATTCAGATTTTTTTTATGTTTTTTTAATTTTCTCCTACAATTTTCGGAATGATTGATTGAAATTTGGTACACCTAATACACTTCAAAAACTCAATATTTGAGGCTATTGAGCGTTTTTGAATACCTACAGGGTGATAGACTTTTAGGGGTCGTACCCAATTTAACCCTGTAAAACTTTTTTGCGTGCCGCCTCTGCTTTCAATGGGACATAGATTCAGATTGTCCTTTCAATTTGGAAACTTTTTGCCCCCATGTAAATTTTTCGAAAACTGTATGGATCTCGAGATAAATGCCAAAAATAAATTACTTGTAATAAAACCGTTATTTCTCAAACACACTTATTTGACATTTCTCAAACATTTTATTGGAAAATAGAATGACCGAAAGCTTCCATACCAAATGAAATTCAGTTGCAAAATTAGATTGAATTTTTTGAACACCATTATAATTAAAACTAGGAAAAACAAAGAAAAAATGTTTTTATTTAAAAAAAACTCCTCTAACTGGATTGCAAAATCTGAATAACTGAAACTGGTTGAACTTTCGATATCATCAGGGACTGTATGACACACGGTCTAGGCGCTATACATCGCTAGACTGTCGCTTCTGACGGTTGAGGTGTTGTGAGTTTTAATAATTTAATCTCGTGAACAGCAGTTCTAATTTTATCAGTACCCTTAGAAGTGGTTCGGATTCTACTTTTATTTATCTCGAAATCCATACAGTTTTCGAAAAACATACATGGAGGCAAAAAGTTTCCAAATTGCAGAGACAATCTGAATCTATGTCCCATTGAAAGCAGAGGCGGCACGAAAAAAAGTTCAACAGGGTTAAATTGGGTACGACCCCTGAAAGTCTATCACCCTGTAGGTATTCAAAAACGCTCAATAGCCTCAAAAATTGAGTTTTTGAAGTGTATTAGGTGTACCAAATTTCAATCAATTATTCCGAAAATTGTAGGAGAAAATTCAAAAAACGATAAAAAAATCTGGAACTTTGACACCCTGTGAATCAAAAACGAAGCTCCCACGCATATATGTTTGTCTGAGATTTTCATCTTGAAAAAATGTTTTCTTCAAGCTGTTGAAGTCCTGCCACAAAAAACTGAAACACCCTGTATATGCACGTTTCTCATGAGAGTTCCTTGGTCAGTTTTTATAATTCAAAGTCAACGGATGATTTGATTAACTTTATGTCGCGTCCCCATTTTTTACTACTACTTGTATGTACCTATACCTATGAAAAATTAATTGACAAAATTATAATTTCTTATTACGTGTAGTATCCCGAAGTGAATATAAAATGAAAGAATATAATATGCTTCATTTTAAACTAGTATTTTCATACAAATAAAATAGGTCGAAATCAGGAATCTATTATTGGTGCCGAAACTGAGACCCAAACTAAATTTATTGATGAACCTGTATGCAAATCAAATGAACAAATAAATTCTAAAATTATTTCCAAACACAATCTGGTGTGAAATTTTCTTACCGAAACCACACGAGATCAAACTACTTTCCGGGAGCTCATGGATATTTTGAAAATTATTCAGATTCGATAACCTTTCATGGGAAAATCACGTGAGATCAATTGCTAACAGTGCATCCCAAAAACTTGATTTTCTGTTTAGGGCCAGGAGCTATTTCACTTCCAGTCAGCTGCTTATGATCTATAAGGCACAGATCCGACCTGTCCTGGAATACTGTTTGCATATTTGGAGTGCAGCACCCAAACATACCCTGAAACTGTTGGATTCTGTTCAAAAAAAGGCAATTCGTCTCGTGAGTGATGCATCGCTCACAAACTCACTCACTTCTCTGGAACACCGTAGAAAAGTTGGCGATCTAGCTCTATTTTATAGATATTTTCATGGACGATGCTGCTCTTCTGAAATTTTAACAATTGTTCCTCCCTTGGCAATCCCCCAGGAGATTAACCCGTCGAGTTGAGGCTTCGCACCCCTTTGTGGTCACTTTGGAGACCTGCAGAACAACTTTTTCCAAAGACTCGTTTATCCAACGAACAGCGGAGCTCTGGAATACAATGCCAAGGGACGTGTTCTCCGAGGCATAAAACCTCCAGAAATTCAAGAAGAACACCAATTCCTACTTCCAATTCCCTTGGTTCTCACCGTGTTCTCTGAACATTACAGGATATCCCTTTTCGTGGGAACCAGAACATAAAAAAAGACGAGGGATAATTGGACCTCTAGTGGTATTACATGTGAAGATTTTTGTCGAGAACACGAATAATTCGAATTATTGTCCCGAGTCGAAGACTGGTATTACAAGTGAAAATTTCCAGAAAGAAACCGGCTCTGCCTTAGCACACGTGGGGGCCCATCTGGACCTCTCGGCCTTCTCCAGCTGGGAGGAACTCGCCTCTTTGGGGCTCGACCGACTGAAATCCGCCCTCACGGCGTTGGGGTTGAAATGCGGCGGTACTTTGGAGGAGCGCGCCCAAAGGTTGTTCTCCACCAAGGGCAAAGGGTCGTTGGACCCTTCGATGATGACCAAGGCGCACAAGGGAAGGATCAGCAAGGAGAAGGAGACGGCGAGACAGAAGGAGTTGGCCACGCTTGAGGCGCAGGTCTACAGGCGAGTAGTGTATTTTTGTTTATTGGACCGATTTTTTGTACGTTTCAAGGACGCAATTTCATTTATTTTATTTTTGATCTCCTCAAAAAGTGGTATGTCTGTATATGCGGCAATAATTTCTAGTTACGGACCTTGTTGTCTCATTGACATTCGTTTTTGAATCAAGTTTCTAGCTATCATATAACTCGAGCAATCGAGCTCCGTCGCACTAATGCCTCACCCTGTATATACTGGGTGTCCCAGTATACCTGTTTCAATTAATTATCTCAGCCATTTCGAGAAATAAAAATTCGAAAATTCCATGATCTTCAATTTGTTCAAGGAAGCTTCAACTGAGAAAAACAACAATTGAGAGTCCGGTTTGATCGGAAGTGACTCTAACTTTCTTATTTCAAAAGGCACCCTGTTTATTTTTGTCAATTTTTGATTTCTACTCAAAATTACCGTTCCAATGATGTATCACACTTCGTATTTCTAGAGTTACTGCATGGTATTAGTTTGATAAGAGTTCGGACACAGCTGAACTTTTGTCCTTTTCTATTTTCTATAATACAATGGTTTAAGTGAATAAAAGAATGACATATATTCTGCTATTTGTCTTTTCAATTTCCCTAGTAGCGCCTGATTGTCAGATACGATTTTAGAGGTTATATTTTCTGTCAAATCAATCATAGCCGTAGATGGACAATGGATATAGTATATATACCCACTTCAATTCATAGTGATACCTACACTTCTAGCAGAGCAAGATTTATATAAATGAAAAAAATGCATGTAACAACATTTTAATATCAGAGAATATATACATATGGATAAACGTATAGCTATAATTCCTTATTGTATGAGAAACTGTACTCCAGTGAAGTATTCCTGAGACAATTTTAAGAAATAAAGTCTATATAAGCTTGTGTCTGCAAATGCTTCATTTCGGAGATACAGGGTGTTGAAATACAGAAAACAAATCATTTTTCGATAAAGATGTCATGGGAAAAAAATAATTTATTTTGACGAGACCTACCAAATACTTGGTTTTTCAAAGTTCTCAGCAACTTCACTTAGCGCCCTAGGAGCTAAGTAACATGGATCGATATAGAAAATATCTCCAAAACGATAACCTCCAGGGTAATTAACGCCCTTATAATAATTCCCTTGATACATAAATATCTATTCACTTTTCACTGTTGAATTTTCAATTCGCGGTCAGCACCAAAAACGCCATTCAATAATATATCACGTTGTAGTTTACTTGCTCTTCTGAGTTTCGTTTTCAAATTTTCAATTTCATAATGTAATTTTGCGATCATTTCCCCTTTTTCCATGATTATCTTGTTTTGTATTTTGTGTGATGATAATAATGGGATTTTGTTCTTGAAATCGTTTGCTTTGTGAATTGATGGAACAGCAGCAGATTCTCTCAAACAGATTTTGAAATCTTCTGTTTGAAAATGGGCCTAAAATATAGATTCATTCTGATCAGATGCTGTTATAAGAAGTGAATTTCAATGAGTACCTCACAAATTCCGCTCGTCTTCAAATTGATTTTCCACCCAGGCCGTTTCATATCTTCCTTCCATAAGCGAATACTGGATATTTGATTTGGAAAATCGAATAAATGATATTCATTTGTTTCATAATTGGCACAATTTATTATACAGCAAGTGATTTCCATAGCTGCTTTAATCTCGAAAGTATAATGATTATGAAATTCTATTTCAATTCTGACGTTTATAAAATGAATTGTCAAATTCAAACAATTTTGAATGAAAAATCGCGGGACGACTATGATGATGCTCTTATCACAATGCAAGGTGTGTAACTTGATAAATCTAAACATTCAAAAACCCTAACCGTTGTCATTTCTGTGTCCGAACTCTTATCAAACTAATACCATCCAGTGACTCTACGTATTTCAAATTTGTTTTGATGGAGAAAACGACAATTGAAATTTCAAATTGAACGAATTGCAGTAGGCTAGGATATTTTTGTAATCTTGATTTTGACTTTATAGTAGAAGTAGAATTGACAACTAACTTCATCCATAAAATCTCACAGGGAGATTGATGAAGATTGATCCACTACAAATTCAATAATAATTTCAAATTATTAGAATTGTAGTAGATCATGTAATTTTCAAATGTTCATCTCTCGAAATGGCTGAGATAATCTATTGGAACAGGTATACTGGGACACCCGGTATATTGAATAAACAATTCTATAATTTTTCTGTTTTCTGTATCTTTTGGGTCCGAAACATATCCCCAGCCCTTTATAATTTTGAAATTGAACGTTGTGGAGACGACTTGGAGAGTTCTTTTATCACATCATAATTCCTCTTAGATTGTCGGACTTGATTGTGTCCCAACGGGGCGCGACGAAGGAGAACGTGCAAAGGAAACAGGCGCGCACCGACGCCGAACGCGACGACAGCGAAAACGAGGAAAGCGACGACGACAGCGTCGATGAGGCAGACGACGATGTGCCCTACAATCCGAAGAATCTCCCTCTCGGATGGGACGGCAAGGTAACTCTCATTTCCTGGTATTAGTTGCGTTTTATTTATACGATTTCGCCACCGGAATCACTCAAATGTGTCGTTTTATTTGCAACTTTTCCGATTCTGGTTGCTGCTTTCCATTTAGTCTCACTACAAGGATTGTCGTGGCATGTCTGTTGACAGTAGTCAAAAAAATTAAACCAGATTGACGAAAAACGAAACTCTTTCAAAGTATGATATGATTTATTGCAGCTTGAAAGGTTGTACAGTGTGTCCAGTTTTCGATGGTTTTGCTTGATATCTCAGTTATCTTTCGAGATAGAACCTTGCGGGTTTCACGGTCGTGTGCCACTTTTTTGTGAAACTCAAGATGGCCTAATCAGATTTTTTATAGCTTTTTGCGTTTATGAGATACAGGGCGATTTTGAAAATTCATACATTTTGGACCCCCTCTATATCTACGAAGTTTCTCAGCGGAAATGTCAAATTGTCTCAATTTTTTTTCTGGGTATGGTTTTGGAGATACGACTCAAACTTATGATTTTTCAAATGGAACACCCTGTATTTTATAAGCTCATTAAATTCCTAATTTTTTTTCCATCAAGATGAAATATGATGAATAGGTATGAAATTTTCAAAAATGCTCCAAAATCACTAAAACATTGAATTTTAATAGTGGGCTATGGATATCTCATTTGAAAAAAGTTCCAATTGAAGAATATTTCATTTGATTCTTCCATGAGAAGGACAAAAACAATCCCAACCATAGTTGATTAAGATAACACGAAAATTAAGTACCTGATAGCAACAAATGAGTAGTAATAAAAAGTTCATATCCTGGAATAAGCACCTGATGTAATATTCACTAAGACAATTGAATTTCGAAATTAATCAGTAACTTATTCATTGAATTGTTCAAATTAATGTCCACTTTCCCTCACACGCTTTCTCAATACGTCCTAATGCATTCAAAATCATTAAAGGATGTCTTTGTAATTCCTGGAAAACTGCCCCTAATGTTGCACGAAATTCTTCAAGATATTTGTGACTCTAACTGTATCAAGACGTATTGAGAAACTGTGTCAATTGTGTGTTATGGGAAATGGACATCAATTTGAACAATTCAGTGAATAAGTAATTGAATAATTCCGAAATTCAATTGTATTTGTGAATATTCAATCTGGTGCTTATTCTATATTATGAACTTTTTATTACTATTTATTTGTTGCTGTCAGGTACATGATTTTTGTGTTTTCTTAGTTAATTAGTGTTGGTTTTGTTTTTGTCCTCTTAATGGAAAAATCAAAATGAATATCCCTTCAATTGGAACTTCTTTATAAGAAAAATGCATAGCCCACTATTAAAATTCAATGTTTCAGTGATTTCAGAGCATTTTTAAAAATTTCATATACATACATTATGAATCATTCCGAAGAGAAAAAAATGAGGAATTTAATGAGCTTATAAAATACAGGGTGTTCCATTAGAAAAATCATAAGTTTGAGTCGTTTCTCCGAAACCATACCCAGAAAAAAAATTTGAGTGCGCCACTGAATTATGCGCAAAATTCTGTATGAGATAAGATTCCAATTTGACATTTTCGCTGAGAAACTTCGTAGATATAGAGGGGGTCCAAAAAAGTATGAATTTTCAAAATCGCCCTGTATCTCATAAACGGAAACAGTTATGCAAAATCTGATTAGGCCATCTTGAGTTTCACAAAAAAGTGGCACACGACCGCGAAACCCGCAAGGTTCTATCTCCAAAGATATCTGAGATATCACACAAAAGCATCGAAAACTGGACACACTGTACATAAGTAAAATGCATAACACTTATCAGCCTAGTGTAGTTGTAAAATCAAACATAATGAAAAATATAATAAACATGAATACCTTTACAAACATTAAAATATAAGTAAAAATCATTTCGAAGTAATCATTATAAATACTTTCACAACCAAATTGAAAAAACAAGTAAAACCATTTCTAAACTGAAGAAAATGCTCTATGGAATAGAATGCATTTTCAAGTGGAAAGCTTTCAAGTTTAGTCTCATATGATATTTCCACCCAAACACTGGTTTTATCTTTTTCTCTCCAGCCCATTCCGTATTGGTTGTACAAGCTGCACGGCCTCAACATCAGCTACAATTGCGAAATATGCGGCAACTACGTGTACAAGGGCCCGAAGGCGTTCCAGCGGCATTTCGCCGAATGGAGGCATGCGCACGGCATGCGCTGCTTGGGCATCCCGAATACCGCCCATTTTGCGAACGTCACGCAAATCGAAGACGCCCTGGCATGTGAGTATACTTTTTATACCAATTTTTTCTGCAACGGACATAAAAGTCGTCCATTTTGATACCAAAATCAGCTTTAGAATTGACGTTTCTTTTACTGACATAAAAATAGGTATGTTGCTAGGCAACATATTTAGCTCCTAGGAGCTAAAGTTGAACTTGAGTTCCTAGGAGCTAAAGTTAAACTTAAGCTCCTAGAAATTAAAAAGAATATACTAGACGTCATCAAGAATAAACAACATTGTAATGGTTTGTTATTGGGGTTGGGAAGCATACCTGATTTTTTTCCGCTTTCGGCAGATTTGGCATTTCATACCCATGCTGGAGTTATAAATACACCTTATTATGGTTAAGTATAGAAATTATCTCAGTTTAGTATTTTTCTTTTAATCAAGAAAGCCTTCAGAATTCAAATACTTGCCTGATCTGTATTTCATTCGTTATTCTCGGGATAGTTAACGTGTTTTTGAATAATCATGGCAAGCAATAGTTTTTTGTCTCAAACTACGATATTGTTTACCCCCATTTGATTATCAAGCCAAACACAGTGGAGTAAGGCGAGAAATAAATAATCGCTATTATTATTGTTGATATGCTCAATAACCTAACATTTTCCAGGTCTTGTTCTTATACCTGGCAATGGCAGAATATTTGCCATTAAAGCATCTGGTCCATTCGCAAATATGTCACTCTGTGGTTGTATTCATATTGAAACTACCATTCAAACATCCTTGAAAATTGAATAAACCTGCTGTTAATGCAGGTAGAATATTCTCACCACACGGATTTTGCATTCGATTTGTTGCATTGCATACATATGGCACGGCATTGCTGGTTACTCCACATATTTATTTGAGTTAATTGTTTCGGTATCAGAAAAAAAAGAATGTTCTATTCGGATCAAAAGTGACTTTGTTTGACTCGCAAATTTAGGTTTCATGTGGCTTTGCTAAACGCTCCACCTCGCAAATGCAAAATTCGCTTGTCAAACAAAGTGCCACTCTGTATTGATGAAAAACCATTATGGTTCAAACATACAGAGGAGTGCACAAAAAACGGACAGGACTGTAACTTTTGAATTATTAAAGTTGGGGGTTTTGAAAATTGGTGGACAGCTAGAATACCAAATTGCTCATTAATTGACGGAACAATTTTTGTTCTATTTATTTATTTATTTTGTTAATTCTTTGCTACATATCTCCATCTCATATAAATATAATGTTAGCGACGGTGTTCAAACCACCCCGTAAATAAAAAGAACGCCTAAGGAAAGCCTTATCACAAGCGGCCTCGACGTAATCATGGTGTGATAAAAGACTGAAGCAGGTTCAGTCGATTAATATCGTAGAACAAATTACTTTTGTATGTTGTATTTTTATAAACGTTCATCTTTGTACAAGCCGTCCTGAGTGAATAAAAATGTGCCTGAGTGTTGAAATTGTGTCTATCTACGATGCCTCCTTTTAGAATCTTTTAATAAATATATTTTTCTTCTCACATAACTAAAATGGCATTTAGTGTACTGATATGTACCACGCTAAATGATCGATTAATTACGGATTGACGGTCTGTGATTTATTCAAAATATTAAACACGTTACCATGGCAACACGATTTCTCAAACACATTACCATTATTCAAACAATATTCGTTTGTATCAGAATTCTTGAGATTGGTTGAAGTTGAGTATGTTTCAAGGGCACAGAGAAGATGCAATGCCTTTTTACAAGGTGGTGTTCAGAAAATGCGAATGCAATCGCCTACGAGACTTGGCTGATTTGTTGAGTTCATCAATGATCATTGATCAGAATGAACGTTGACCGAAATGAAAAGAGAATTTGTCATGAATACAGAGTGAACCTGATATCGAAAGATCTAATATGTTCTCTGATGTTGTTCTCTGAATCCTATTTTCGAAGGTTCATGTATAATCTTGTCATCACTCTCTGTTTGCTTTGCCATTATATCCATATGCAAAAATCCACGTTTTTTTAAAAAGAGGAATTGAAAAGAATAATGACGAAATGTTAATCAATGATTTTGTTTGGTATTTGCCTATCTCTAATTAATAATATCAAAACAAACTGTATATGTATTTATTTTCAACAAAAAAGTCACTGGGCGACCCTGCGCCGATGCGAAGCTACCGGTGTGCTCGGCCAAGTGAGTACCGGGACAATTTTTATTCAGTACTACTTTTACCGCATATAGGTCAAATTCGCTGATTGACAGATTATTTCGTGAATCCAAATTCACCGCTATCATTCCACGGGAAAGTGCATCTACTTATGTAATTGTGACGGTTCCCTACTTCTAAAATCCCATTCGCTTGCATCCAAGGGCCCTGAGAACAGCCAGTCCCGGATTATTGTGCCGCTCTTCACACTTACTTCTACTCCGGGTAAGTCGTTTAGTGACTGCAAAGTTGAACATTTCCTTCATTTTATACAGTTCATTTTTCAAACCTATTATGAGCTAAATATCAGTCAGATTTATTGATGTGCATCATCAGGGTGTGTGAGAGTCCACGAAGTTATCCCCTCCTAGTTAACTCTCAAACGGCTGGGATTTTTTATTCTTTTCTGTCCCAATGGTATTAGTTGAGTGCTACATTTTGAGTCCAACTGAAAATATTAATCTTGAAGTTTTTTTAAAATGGAATGAGTGTCCAGTGCAGTGTATACCTCATTACTCCATTTGAAACGTTTTTCAATTATCTATAAGACACCATCAGCATCTATCATAAAAATGTGATTCTCATGGTTCTGTTTCCGAATGTATTGAAAGTTTTATGATTCTCCATTTTCCTATATACTATTGTGATATGGTTTTATAAATCAGTCTTTACAATAAATGTTATAATAATTATTGATATCAATTTATATTTCATCATGATAGACCTGGTGAAAGCTGCCACTGTGTGGGTAAGGATTGATTTTCAATGGGTAATTCCGGATTGAGCTGTTTTGAAGCATCATGTATCATGTTAAGAAGTCGATTCATTCCAACCTGGTTTCTAGACATCCATCCACTTGTATTGAATTATTGAATGCTATCCAAATATAAGATACTCACAGAATGCCAACATGGATTTCGTAGTGGAAAATCAACTCAAACAGCAGCATGCAGCTTAATTGAATTTATATATTTGAGTCTAGACAAAGGGAAACATGTGGCTGGACTTTTTTTTGACCTTTCTCGAGCATTTGATTCCATCAACTTCAGTTTCATTCGCAGTAAATTATACAACTTGGGATTCAGAGGAATTTTTCTTGATTGGGTCAGTGATTATCTTGATCATAGACAGATGTTTGTGAAAGTCGAGAACCATTATTCCAGTAAACAGACACTGAGCATTGGTGTTCCACAGGGCTCAGTGCTGGGGCCGCTATTATTTTTATTATTCATCAACGATATGCCTGAGCATATTGATGCTAAGATGTTAGCACTATTTGCAGATGACACTTCATTAGTTGTGACAGCAGACACCTTTGTGGAGCTTGCTGAGTCAACCAAATTGATCATGAATACCTTCAATAGTTGGTGTGATCAAAATGGTTTGATTTCGAACATTGCCAAAACAGAATGCATATATTTCACATTTAATGCTAGCTTGAACGTCTTTCAACTTAATTTGAATGGTGAGACGGTTGTTTCTAAAACTTGTACGAAATTTTTGGGTATCCATGTTGACCAGCATTTGAGATGGACTTACCAAACTGACACAGTTAGCAAAAAGCTCAATAAATCTAGATTTGCAATCTCACGAATAAAGTCATCTATGCCAGTAGAGTCATTGTTAACACTTTACTATAGTATGGTATATAGCCATATGTCATATAATGTGGTGCTCTGGGGAAATTGTGCTGATAGTGACAGAATATTCATCGCTCAAAAGAGAATAATTCGCACCATGTTCAACTTGCCCTCTAGAGAGTCATGTAGGCCCTATTTTGTTCATTAGAAAATCCTAACGTTCCCCTGTATATACATCTTCAAATGCCTGCTATATTTCAGGGAAAATATAGGTAAGTTCAAAACTAATTCTCAGTACCATTCATACTCGACCAGAAAGAGAAATTTCTTGTGTATTCCATCACATAAAACAGCTAAATTTGAAACAAGTCCTAGTTATTGTGGAATTATGTTCTACAACCATCTCCCCGAGATCATCCAATGCCTGAATGGACACTTATTCGAAAAATACATTAAATCACTATTAGTATCCAAATGCTACTACAGCATAGATGAGTTAATGTCTAATAGAGATTTCAGAATCTAATCTGTTTTGTTTTATATATACGTTTGTAACCTGTGTGATCACTGTTTTATACACTCAATTTTTCTTATACTTGTTAGTACCACCCTGACCTGTCCTATACATATAAATGTCTGAAAGGATCAATAAATTATTTATTATTTATTTATTATTTATTATCCATAATGATTGTTATTTAGAGGAATTTCGAAATCGAGAATGTATATTATGTATCCCGCTGCACCTGATCTTGGGTGTATGAAGGGGATAATTTAACTTGATGAAACTCTTCTGTAAGCTTTTGATAAAAATCACCTGAGGAGAGTTGAGAAAAGTTCGATATCTGCACCCAACGAGGATATCTCAAGTGTAGATCAATCCAGCATCTCTTCAGACAATGGAGCATTTGCTCTTTGCATACATTATGTGGCGTGATACCTATAATCATTACTGCTCCTGCAATACTATATGAAACCTCCAAGAGATACAGTGTATGAGAGTGGTTCGACTAAATATTTCGATTTTAGACGGCCATTTATTGCTTTAACAATATTTATCAGAATTTGTCTCTGTTTTCCGTTGACGTTTTCCTCATTGTGTTGTGATTTTCAGCGTGTCTTTACCCCGCAATCTGCAATGAAATTGTCATCATCTTGAAACCATTGGCGCATATTCCCAACATCCCTTTCAAATTCATTCCTCAGAATTTCTGCATCATTAGGTATTCCTGGAATCTGAGAAATATGAACCCTAGATTGTTAGTATGTGGCCAGCTGATGCTATCATCTCATCATTGGCTATACCAGTCAAACGAACTCGACAAGCCCAGTCAAGCTTTGAAAAGCTTTGCCGAAGGAAGTATTTCCTCCAAAAGAAAAAAAAACATTCCAATATCGACTTACCTTTTCAGGTTTCCTTTTTTTTTGTTTCCCACTGGTGGCAGTAGAATTGACGATCAATAAAACGATGTGAATCATTTTTAGAGTTTTGTGACATTCTGCTGATTATTTTTTGGTTTTATAATGATAATATAATTTCATCCCTACATAATTATAATTTATAATAGATGATGTTGTTCCCGCTTTCTTGTTATCCTCCTTAGTAGGTGCATCGCGGTATTACAAGGCAAAATACACTGTTATTTATCGATGAAGTTGACCCCATAATACTTGAAAGGATTTTATACTTGGTTGAGTCTTTATCAAGATTTATCAACATTCAAAAGTCATTTCAGGAGTCCAGTAGTGTTTGAAAGTATTCTGGGTAGATTTGCGAACAATTCCAAAATATTTCCTGAGGCGAGTTCACTTTTAGGCAATTTTTAAGTCTGATTTTGAGGTTAAAGTTTCTGAAATACCGCCATTTCATACACTCCCTTCACAATCTTCTTCCTGCCATTCCGTATGGGAAGACGGAATGAAAAGTTGGAACCAGTTTCAGAATTTCGTTCAATAAAACGACAAGAGTTGTCATTCCGGTGAAAGAATCTTGCCAATAGAACGCACCTATCAACTTGAGAATTTGGGTATCAGGTACCAGGTTGAAATGATCGGATTGATGGTTATCACTGCACATGCAAGCAAGGTTCTAGTACTCTGGGATCATGTGCGCACGTAGCCAGTGTGCTGTGGTTCCTTGGGTAGGTATGCTTGATATGAGGTTAACATCAGATATTCCAGTTCTCAACTATTTTACAAAATGAATAACGCTTTAAAGAGTTATTCCTTCCATATTGATGGTATCTACAATATATACACTGGCTTAATATATTACAACATTCCATTATTCTTTCGAATTCCTCTAAAAACTGGATTTTTTGCATACGGATATAACGGCAAAGTAGACAGAGAGTGATGACTTGTTTTCGTGAATCGTCTTGTTGTATTTCTTAAAAAAGGTTAAGGTTTTTATTTCTCAAAAAAGGTTAAGGTATTGATGATTATATTTTCTGTTCCTTCGGACAACGTTCATTCTGATCAATTGTCATTGATGAACTCTATAAATCAGCCAAGTCTCGTAGGCGATTGCATTCGCCAGTCTCTGAAAACCACCCTGTAAAAAGGCTATTGCATCTTTTCTGTGCCCTTGAAACATCCGTACCACCGCATATTATCAATCTCTATTTTGGGATCTATCTGTATCAGAGATTTTCATATTATTCATTGAGTTCCGAAATCTCAAAAATACACAAAATTCATTGTTTCACCCTCTAGCGCCGAATCTGGTCATACGATCGAGTTGGGCCAATGGAGTCTTTTACTCAGAATGACTTCAGCTACAACATATCAAAAATCCAGCCATTTTCACCGAAAGACACCAAGTATTCGGTACTGATCCTGATAAAATGCAGGAAGAGGGCCCTCTCGTTGTGAATGTAACAGGTTTAACACTTAACATGTGAAGTATCGCGGATTTAACTAATCGTCACCATTTTCATTCAACATCGTTAGATGTCAAAATCACCGGCAAAAATGACATACACGGTGATGCGGTATATATCGAAGTGGGGCGATAGCTGTCGTTGCTCATCCTTGACTCGGAGGCACTCGCGCAGGCGATTAAGGATCATCGTGCATATAGTAGCGCGAAATTGAAATAATTAAAATACAATAATATTTTCCCTATAAATACATATAATAAAGATTGAGAACTCCCTAGTTCTCATAGAATAAAATATATACTAAGAAAAAATAACGTAAAATGATATGCTCAAAATAGTGGATTTCGAAAAACCACAGTATGTAACATTTTGAAATTTTTGCACCGTTTCAGTCACATAGCAGAATACTTTTTGCCATCAAGATAAGCTATACAGAGTGGACAAAAAAGGAATCTAAGTATATGTTCAACTGTGATACCCTGTATCTCAAAAGTTAGGAATTTTATGACATATACGTTCATATGAAATTTCATTCTTGGAATGGGTCCAAGAATCGCCCCCTTCAATATTAGCATTTACATTAACAAACACCTTGTATAAGATGAGGGTGTGGGCGAAACACCCTATACTTTAAGTGGATTTTTCTTTTGTGATTGTCTATTTTTACCGACGAATTTGAATTGTTTTCTCTAGTGTGGGAGAAACTGAAAGTTCAGAAGCAGAGCGAACGTTGGCAGCCGGAAACGGAAGAGGAATACGAGGATTCTCAGGGAAATGTGGTCAACAGAAAAACATACGAGGATCTCAAAAGACAAGGTCTTTTGTAAATGGAATATACCTATTCAGTTTCCTCTTTACTATAAGATTGGGGAAGTTTCTTGCAGACCAGTTTTCATTAAATAAGTTTATAACTACTTGGTGATTTATTTCTACTGTCTAAAATGAGCATGGAAACGATTCATGTCATCAAAATTTCCAAAATACCTGTCAATTATTCTTGGGGCGGTAAAGTATGACGTAAAAGCTGAATATGGAGTGAATAAATAAAGGATTTCAGCTATCATTCAGAGAAAATTGTCTGCCCATTCTCTTTTCAAAATTGTATGCTTCCAACACTAAAAATTAGAAGAAATGAAGATGACGACCATTCTCCTTTTTTCTTATTATGAAGAATTTCTGAGTTTGGACACATTCAGCTTGAACCGAACATTTGCCCTGTGTGAACATGGTTTGTACTTTCATATTATAATGGTGGAAGAACCAAATAAACCATATTTTCAATACTTTTTCTGTCTAATTTGATGGCAAAAATAAAATACATGATATTTGTCCATTATTTTTTTCTGTGACGGGAAAAAAGTTTGGCATTTCATCTCTGTTGGCAGGTTATAAAACGTCACTTTTCATAAATTACTTTTTTTCCGTGGGAAAAAAGTGAGTACTTTTTTCCCGGATATATATCACATATATACAGTGTTTCAGCAGAAGGACTATCCTGAGATCTACGTTTACACAAATTGGCAAAATAAAATTTCATTCTACTGTGCATACTATGCTATTTTTTTCATGTTAAAAATTGCGAAATATCATTAGCAATTCAGCATCCTTCAATTAGGTTGAGCGCAAAATTTCATTGAAAAATATCAATTGGCAACAAAGTTATAACAACATTATTTTTGATTGCTCACCATTTTTTATGAATATATCAGACAAATTCTGAGAAGCGGCAACATTGTCAACACAAATGTTGAAAATCGTCAAGGTTTCTGGTATACAATTTCAAATTATTATCGAGTTATAACATCTAAAATGGAATTTATCTTGGTATTCATGGAAAAATGGAATTTATCTTGGTATTCATGGAAAGATTCATAAAATGAAAAATCCATAACGTCGAAAAATCGGCCTTGTTCATCCAAGTAAAGGTGGATAGTCTATTTTCATCATGATCCAAGTAGTTTTTAGAGTCAGAAAATCGGATAGTCTATATAAACTACTCAACACTAATTTCGTTGCACACCAAAATGTCGCCCCTGTTATAATGTGAATAACTTTTTTCAGTTTAGAACAATTTGAATTTGGTTCACACTGTTCGATAGCCCAGTCCTTCAGCTATAATCTCGTATTTCATTGAAACATAAGGGTATTCACATAAAATCTCTACATGGTGTTTTCCGACACTGTGCAAAATTTCGGAATATTCAAAAGGCTCTCAAATGGTGAAAAAAATGTTTTTCTCAACTTCGACAACAGAGGCATGAAGATGATCTTATTACCTCGGGATGTTTCGCGAATCAACTTCCTATCTCTCTTATTTACAGAGTGATCTCAAAAAATCAACTTTTTGGTTTTGCAGTCATAACTTTTTTCCACGTCAACCGATTTTGGAAATCTTAGGCTCATTTTGAAGATAAAACTTCAGATGAAGAGATCTGAATATCAGAATTGACTCAAGATGGCTATCAGAGATCTAGAGTTTTCTTGAAAGTGACCAAAATCTGGAACGCCCTCCGAATCTCGGTTGGGAGGAGAATTGAATGAAAATCAACTTGTTCTCAAAAAAGCAATTCATTCTGGATGCGTCCATATTTTCCTCGCTCTCAGTAGTCAAGAATTGTGCGTGAGAAAACACAATTGAAACATGTTCTTGCAAAAACATCAGACCATTTCTCATCTGTAATGCATGGCCCGTAACCAACGTTACAAGAATTACAATGAGTGACTGACAAACCCGACCAGCTAAGGCTCATCATAAATGATGTACCAACAACCCTATGCTGTCTCGCATTGTCATCAACGAGAACAAAGTTATCACCCACATTCGCGTTAGATGTGGCATCGAAACTATCGAAATCTGTTTATGATTCGAAAACGACGTCTAACCTGACTTGTCAGTCACTTACTGTGATTCTTGTAACGTTGGTTACGGGCCATGCATTACAGAGGAGAAATGATCTGATATTTCTGCAAGAACATGTTTCAATTGTGTTTTCTCACGCACTTTCCTGATGACTACTGAGAGCGAGGAAAATATGGACGCATCCAGAATGAATTGTTTTTCCGAGAACAAGTTGATTTTCATTCAATTCTCCTCCCAATCGAGATTCGGAGGGCGTTCCAGATTTTGGTCACTTTCAAGAAAACTCTAGATCTCTGATAGCCATCTTGAGTCAATTCTGATATTCAGATCTCTGCATCTGAAGTTTTATCTTCAAAATCTTCTAAAATCGGTTGACGTGGAAAAAAGTTATGACTGCAAAACCAAAAAGTTGATTTTTTGAGATCACTCTGTAAATAAGAGAGATAGGAAGTTGATTCGCGAAACATCTCGAGGTAATGAGATCATCTTCATGCCTCTGTTGTCGAAGTTGAGAAAAACATTTTTTTCACCATTTGAGAGCCTTTTGAATATTCCGAAATTTTGCACAGTGTCGGAAAACACCATGTAGAGATTTTATGTGAATACCCTTATGTTTCAATGAAGTACGAGATTATAGCTGAAGGACTGGGCTATCGAACAGTGTGAACCAAATTCAAATTGTTCTGAACTGAAGAAAGTTATTCACATTATAACAGGGGCGACATTTTGGTGTGCGACGAAATTAGTGTTGAGTAGTTTAGTAAGATATCAGAAGCCAAATGCATCAAGGGCTTCCAGAAATTTTTGGTTTACATTGATAATTAACTTATTATGAAAAGCTGTTTTTCCGACTTCATTACTCCATTCCAAAAAGGTACCATTCTCTAGAGATTATAACTTGATAATGATTTGTGTTATCAATTCAAATGTATACCAGGAACCTCAATGATTTCCAACATTTGCGTCGACAATGTTGCCGCTTCTCAGAATTTGTCTGAAATATTCATAAAAAATGGTGAGCAATCAAAAATAATGTTGTTATAACTTTGTTGCCAATTGATATTTTTCAATGAAATTTTGCGCTCAACCTAATTGAAGGATGCTGAATTCAGTGGTGGGGTCGTTTTTTTTTGAAAAAAATCGCTAATGATATTTCGCAATTTTTAACATGAAAAAATAATATTGTATGCCCTGTAGATTGAAATTTTATTTTGCAAATTTGTGTAAACCTAGATTTCTGGATAGTCCTTCTGCTGAAACGAAAAAAAAAAAAAGAAATACTGTACATATACACTGTTGATGGCTTTCGTTGTGCTATAGTTCCGAAAAATAATTCACTAATACCGTCTCCCAGAAAGAACTGCAAGTCCTTTTATCTTCCATTCGACTTCGCGGTTTCGTATATTAATAACAACTACTGAATTCGCAATTTTTCAAAATCAAATCACAGATAATTGAACTGACAGAAGTGACATCAGATATTTGATTACTTCAAAAGAATGATGAAGATGCCTATAAAACGCAGGTGTCCCTACTGTTAAAAACTTGAAATTTCATGTCGATAATTTTCAGATTTCGAAATAATGTAATATCTTCTCAATATTGACTCGTCCTTCCTTCTGTCACAGAAAAAAATTGTGTATTATACACGGGAAAAATATTAGACTTTAGCTCACGAACACAACCTGGAGCTAAAATCTACTACTTTGTTTCCCTTGTATAATACATAATTAATTATTAATGTTTCAAAAGTTTTTATTTAACTTGCACTGTAAAGTATAATTATGTTAGTTCGGGTGGAATCTTTGAACTCAATTTTGAAGTAGAAATCTTCAACCGATTGAGCTGAAATTTTGTATACACGTTTAGTTTGGATGACAATGCACGATAAGGTGTGTGAAGTTATTCTAAATCCAATATGGCGGACCATCCAAGATGGCGGAATAGTTATTTTCAATGCACTTCCACAATATGGGTATCAAATGGAAGGGCTCGTTGGGAGTAACTCGAAAAATAATGTGACGTCATTCTAATTTCAATATGGCGGAGCATCCAAGATGGCACAATAGTTATTTTTAACGCATTCCTACTAGATGGGTATCAAATGAGAGGGGTCGTTGGAAATAATTCGAAAATTAATGTGACGTCATTCTGAATTCAATATGGCGGACCATCCAAGATGACGGAAAAGTTATTTTCAATGCACTTCCACAATATGGGTATCAAATGAAAGGACTTGTTGAGAGTTACTGGAAAGATAATGTGACGTCATTTCAAGTCCAATATGGCGGACCATCCAGGACGGCGTAATAGATATTTTTAATGCACTTCTACAATATGGGTAAGTATATTTCATATAAATTGTGTTTAATGAGGTAGCAAAGGTGATAGTTATAATTATAAAGTAACATTTTATTTCCTTCTTTCTAGAGCATTTAAATAAAAGCATTTTATTATTTTTTTTCACTTTCAATTTATTTCTTATACTTCATGGTAAAATATAATATGCTCAGTTTAGGAAACTTTCCCATGGTTATAATTACATGATTTTTTTATAATAATTATCCTATTTGTAAAAAAAAATCTGTGTTCCAAAAACTTGATTTGTGATTAACACTTGATTTAATCACCACTTTATATCCGAATTCAAAAACTACCGGGTGTTCCTGAATGCAAGTGACTAAAGCCTAGGGCAGATTTCTGATAGAAATTTCTCTCATAAAAATAAGGAATAATTTTCAGTATAACAAAATTTACAGTGATCTTGAGGAGGTCAGGAGATCAAACAAGAATTAAAAAAGTTACAGGGCGGTCAATTTGCCTGAATATTTTGCTGGTTGTTTTTTTGCAGGTGAGTGTAAATTTCAAGGATTAGCAATGATTTATCTACAAGCTAAAAGAAAAAAGCCATATTTTCAAACACTTTTCAGTGAAGAGCATTTTTTAGAAGGCCTTATTGTTCACTTCAGGGGAATTTTGTGGAAAAAAAACTCAATAGGAATGAAAGTAAGTATAGTCTATTATCTGTAACAAGTAACCAATAGGAATTAGCATCATTAGAGAAATAAGTATTCAAAATTAACTCATGAAATATATAGTTTTCAAAGGGATTTCACAGATACTTATCCACATCCTCCTCTACCACATGCACTTCTTCTTGGTGGTCTGTAATTGGAAGAACTTCCGCCACCCATCAAAGGATTATAATCTAGAAAATATTAAACCATCAGGATGGTAGTGTAGGTTGGATGGTTGTTTATAGACATAGTATTTTGAGAAGCATTTACAGGGTGGCCCACGGTCGATGGTACCCTAGACGTATACGGAAAACGTTACATTGGATTATCCTGAATTTGGTTACTCTAATAAGCGTTTGTGATCTAACGATTCAAAATATTTTCAGCGAAGCAGCGTTGCCAATTTTACCAAAAAGTAGCATCATCTTTGTTATTTCAAATGGAACACCCTGTATTTTATTACGTTTTTAGATTCTTCTCGAAGAGCTGATTTCATCAATGTATCACACTTGGGGTCTAGCAGGAATCATTACCGAGATATAGGGTGTTCAAAATCAAGATTTTTCAACTTTAGGATTTTTTTGTGTCGAAACTATTCATCATTGGTCAAAACGACTTACATGTCCCTATATTAACTTTTGATTAACAATCTACCGACATTTAATTGGAAAAAATACAGGATGGTCCAAGATTCAGAATTTTGATCACCCTGTATCTGTTACAATTAAATGTCAGTAGATAGTGAATCGAAAGTTAAGATAGGGACATGTGAGCCGTTTTGATCGATAATGAATAGTTTCGACTCAAAAAATTCCTGAAATTGAAAAATCTCGATTTTGAACACCTTATATCTCTGTAATAATTCCTGCTAGACCCCAAGTGTGATGCATTGATGAAATCAACTCTTTGAGAAGGATCTAAAAACTCAATGAAATACAGGGTGTTCCATTTGAAATAACAAAGATGATGCTACTTTTTGGTAAAAGTGGCAACGCTGCTTCGCTGAAAATATTTTGAATCGTTAGATCACAAACGCTTATTAGAGTAACCAAATTTTCAGGATAATCCAATGTACCGTTTTCCGTATACGTCTAAGGTACCATCGACCGTGGGCCACCCTGTATTAGGAGGATTTTTCAAATGTTTCAAGAACTTGCAGCATTCCCAAACTAGCAAGATCTTCTTAGAAATAGAATTCATTGATTTAAGTAGATTACAATTCCTCATTTTGTAGGAAAAATGAACATTTCATTGGTCATTGAAACAAGTCAGAGTTTAGGAATTGTTTCTTAGTATAATAATAATAATAAATATATAAGTTTATTCAAAAACATTTACAAAATATACATTGGAATAAACATATAAGTAATTTGAATAAACTGGGAAAAACCTTAGGAAGTTAACCTTGTAGTAAAGATAAAAAATAAATAAATGTACATAGGTCAATAAATATTTAACAATATCAAATTATCACAATGGGAAATTGTCTCATTAAGAAATGAGACAAGTATTCAATGCATAATTATTTATATTCATACATACTTATTCACAATTATTATTAAAATTTATCTAATGATATTATTAAATATTAATTAAAGAAATAAAATAATTTTTAGGGGAGTTTAATATCCAGTTTTTTATTTTTATTGTATAGGATTGTAGTAATTTTGTTTTTATAATATCATTTGGAATTTTATTATATAGGTAAGGAATTAAAAATTTTAAATTTCTATGTCCAAATGACTTGTTTATTTTATATTTCAATGTTATGTTATTTTTATTTCTTATGTCATAGATATATTTTTTGAACTGAATGTCCTTTTTATTTTTGAAAATATGAATCAGTAAATTGTAAATATAGAGTTGATTTATATCCATTTTCTTAGATTCCTCATATAAAAGTTCAGTTGGAAACAAATAATCGTTTCCATGAATAATTTTTAAAATCAATTTTTGTGCAATTTCCAATTTTCTCAAATATATCTGCTTCACTCCACCCCATCCTAATATCCCATAAACTAATTGAGATTGAACTAAAGCATAGTATATCATTTCGAAATTTCGAATATTTAATAGTTAGGCAGTTTACATTTTGCAAAGAAGGTGCAACTTAATATACATTATTTGTTTAGATGAGTATTTTTCCTTGTAGTTACCAAATTCCCAATAGGCAACTATCCTGGACTATTATACAGGGTGATCCACGGTGGATGGCCTATTAGAAGTATCTGGAGAATGAAAAGACAGAACATTCTGGAAATTGGGATACTTTGATAATTTGAACATTCTTTATCCCTCCAAAATATTTTCATCAATACACTGTTGCCACTTCTATCTGAAACAACTCGCAACTTCGTTATTTCAAATGGAGCACCCCGTATTTTATTGCATTTTTATTCTTCAAGATTCAGGATCCTTCATCAATGCATTACACTTGGGGTCCAGCAGGAATGATTACGGAGATATAGGGTGTTCAAAATCGAGATTTTTCAATTTTTGGATTTTTTTTGTGTCCAAACTATTCAATATCAATCAAAATGGTTTACATATCCCCATCTCAACTTTAGATTGACTTTCTACTGACATTCAATTGGAACAGATACAGGATGATCAGAATTCTGTATCTTGAAGCATCCTGTATTTATTCAAGGGACATGTGAGCTGTTTTGATGATTGAATAGTTTCAACACAAAAAAATCCTAAAATTAAAAATCTGGATTTTGAACACCCTATATCTTTATAATCATTCCTGCTAGACCCCAAGTGAGATACATTGATGAAATCAGCTCTTCAGGAAGAATCTGAAAATGCAATGAAATTCAGGGTGTTCAATTTGAAATAACAAAGTTGCTAGTTGTTTCTGATAGAAGTGGCAACACTGTATTGATGAAAATATTTCAGATGGATAGAGAATGTCTAATTATCAGAGCATCCCAATTTTAAGAATGTTATGTCTTTTGTTCACCAGATACTTCTAATAGGCCATCCACCGTGGATCACCCTGTATTTTCTAGTTGTGAATCCATATTTTTTTTTAAATGAAGGAAACATTACAACCAAGGGATGAATTTTGTTACTTTTTGGAATTCTTCAGATATTATTCAAACTATTCAAAAGTGGATGGAATTTTCAGAAGCCTTTCAATTGGACTTATTTCAAAAACATTTCAAATGGTCTTGCTAGTTTGAAAGATTTTCGATTTCTTTAGGAAACATTGAGACTTTTTGAAGTCCATGGAAGTCTTTGAGTCAATTTGAGCTATTAGGAGTTTTTAGAGGACTTGTGAATTTTTAAAGGAGGAAGGAAAGCTCAAAGTCATCTCAAAAACTTTAATATGATGTAGTTATTCAACGGGACATGTTTCGAACTTATAAAAGTCCATCTTCAGCCGTATTTAAGAAATTACTACAAGTAAAGACATGTGAAAATATACAAAATGTTATAAGAACAAATTTTTTCGCCTTACATGAAGGTGAACATTATTTGTTTTAACAAAGTTGTCGATGTCTCTCATCATAATATCATTGATAAGAATATTAATAAATGATTGAAAGGAATAAACAGGTTTTTGTGAATTTGTTAGAAGTCTGTAAGTCACTGTAAGTTCTTGGATGTAATTGAAATTCTTTGGACATCATTGAACCTTGTTGACTCATTGTAGATCAGATTTTTTTTTAATTTGAAGTGATTATACATTTGGAAGTTATTAGATGTCTCTAATTAATTGGGTGTCTTTAGAAGTCAATGTAAGTCTTTGGAAAATACTTTGAGTTATTGATAATTCAGTCTCAAAGATCTCAAGGAGGAACTATTTTTGAGATCTGTGTACTCATTAACTTGTTTAGATTTTTTTTTCACTCAACCTCAATTTCTGAATTGATTTCAAGGAATTCTAAGAAACGACAAGAAATTGTGTTGAAAAAATGTTCAATCCACAAAAGAAAAATTGAAAAAACTTCCAAGATATAAAAATTGTGTTGAAAAAATGTTCAATCCACAAAAGAAAAATTGAAAAAACTTCCAAGATATAACAGGTACTCCCAAGAAATTGCAGAGAATGTTGAAGAATTCTTGATGATTCCTGGAATAACAAGTTAATTCAGAAAAATACCTATCATAAACTCTTAGCAAACCTTCAATACTTAACTGAACAGGATATTGAAATAAAAATTAAAAGGATATTGCAAATACCAAGTATTTCTGGACTTCAAGTTATAATTTCTCACCTGGTTTGAATGATTTGTTCTCATCATTATTTGATGCTCCTAATTTGTGACCTCTGTCCTCACTGTATTTATTCAGAAGAGCTTCTCTTTTCTTGGCTTCTTTCTGAAGAAAAAGTGTTAGAAAAGATACAAAAATAGTTTGATGACAGTTTACCTCTTCAGTTTTCCTCTTATGTTCCTCTGCATCCCTTCTATATTTCTCCTGCAACTGCAGGGTACGCTGTTCCTGAGCTGTCAGCCTGGCAGTTACTAAATCAGGATCTGCAAAGAAAAATTGAAACAACTTTTATTGTGACATAAAGGTAGATATTATGCTTACTTTTGTGATACTTAGCAGCATATTCTGCTTCATCTCTTTTTGTTTTATAATGATCCACTATGGTCCTAAGATATCTTTGATATAGATAAGCCATTATTACACCTGATATGAGAATGTACCAGCCATAGTCCTCAAATATACCAACAACTGAAAATTTCATAAATTGAATCAATATTTTGAGATACAATCATGTGTGTTCAAACATCTCACCTGAGGCTATGGTACTGGAAAAATGTGAAGGATATTGAATATCTTCTTCCATGTCTCCCATTTTCTATGCCAATTTATTATAAATTATTATTATTGAGATTATTATTATTTATCTGAGATTTTTACTTTAACCAACAATATTGACATAATCACATATTGACAGTTGACAGATACAACGACTTTTGCCGTCATGTCATTAGTTGTCAACATTTTTCCTTGAGACGAGTGCCTGCAGACAGTTCCTGAATCATCATCCAATACTTGGCTTCTAACCCACAACTGTGCACATGATGCGAGATATTATTCTCTTCTCAAATGTGAAAACTCGTTGTTGTACAGTGAATTGAACGTCAGTATGCCACACTTGCGATCCGAGGTGCAGTCCTTACGAGAGACAATTTTCTGTTTCAATTTTGTTCTCGAGTAATTTCACGTAAGAAAAAGGTTCAATTAGGCCGAGTTAGGTTGAATTGTTGAGGAAAAGTAGTATCTTTGGTGTTTAGGTATGAAACTTATCTTTGGTATTCATGAAGGTTCATTTGGTCCAAGAAAGGTTACATAATTCAAACAAAAGGCTGCATCTATTAGTAAGTTTACGTACGAATAAAATGCTAAAATCCTATTCGCACGTTTACGTTCGAATAGGTTTCGACGTACCTATATGTACGTATGCGTACGTATAATATGCCAATGCCTATCCGCACGTTTACGTACGAATATGGCTGGCAGTAACTATACGTACGTATACGTATGTACGTGTAGTGTATTTTTTGCTTATCCGCAATTTTACGTAAATGTTTCCAATTTTAGAAAAATGTATCAGTTGATATCGAAATTATCTTTCACTTCCATGAAAATGTTCAAATCTATTTACCAACTCAAAAATTCTTCACATCTACTTATGTAAAATTTGAGGAATATAATGTGTAATTCATTATGCTAAGTCGACTTTCACAGCAAACTATGTTCAACATTGTTTATAGGTGATGTACTTGATGTGTGTATGTTCACCTTTAGTAATTGACACCTGGTGAATTTCGGTCCTGTTTGAAAGTGTTGAATATATTGATATAAATGATAGATTTTCCTCTGGAAGTGAACATCTGAGTGAGTACTACTGTCTCAATTATATCATGAATAAATTATCTGGAACCAGCAATCCGCTTATATATAAATGAGCGATTTATTAATTGTTAACACAAAACAACAACACCGACCGCTTATCGACTAAGTGCAAAAAAAGTAATCACTATAAATAAATAATAAAGCTACCCGTGAACGAAAGAACGTTTCAAGTAATATGAGTTTGAACAAATCGGATTTCAATATAATACTGGAAGAAATCAGGAAAAACAGGAGTGAGCTAAAGACCGCAATCGAAGCCAGTGAAGTACGTCTCCAATTAAAAATTGAGGAGTCGAATGAGAAAATCAAAAAACTGGAGCAAGAAAACTATAATCTGAAAGAAAAAGTAGAAAAACTTGAAAGACAACAAAAAACCAACAATTTGATAATTTTCGGATTGAACAATGACAAAAATGACACCTTCCAATTCATCAGAGAAGAATTATTTCAAAAACTATTGAATATCGATATATCAACGAATGATGTTAAGAACTTCTATCGCTTAGGAAATAATCAAAACTGCCCTGTCAAAATTGAATTAGTGTCGAACCTAAAAAAGAGAGTCATCCTACAAAATGCAAAGAAACTTAAAGGTACAAATATTGCAATCTCACATGATTTGACCACCAGGCAGAGAGAAGAATATAAAATATTGAGGAAACACTTAGAAACTCAGAAGAATAATGGCGCTCAAGATTGTTATATTAAAGGAAACAAACTTGTGAGAGGGAAAATAGAATACACCATTCAAGATCTAATAGATATAGAAGAGAGGGAAGAGTCCAGAGAAAATAAAAGCGCCCCAGGTACCCCGACTCAACTGCTACTATCAGAAGTCGATACGAGTGACTCAGAAGTTAGAGAACGCCAGGGAGCAATTCCAAAAGTAGTTGGCGTCAAAAAAGCACCAGAAATTATCAATCAACCAGTGGATAAACTAAGGAGGCTTCGATCTGTTTCGTCAAACACGGAAAAAAAAAATAATGAATATATTAAAGGAAACTTTCTACTGTTTTTGTTTCTCGCACTATATGTATATTATTGTTTGAAGCAATCAGTTCACTATTATATATATTATTATTCTTGCACGTTGTTGTATTCTTGTTCTTTGTACGAAATGCAAAAAAATCTCAGTCTATTACATCTCAATGTTAGGTCTCTCTCTACTGGTTTTGAATCTCTCCAGAATTATATAATAAATTGTGACATAGATATTGTTGCCTTGGGCGAAACATGGCTCAGTAATCGAAGTGATCCTGATCTAATTACAATTAGGGGCTACAATTTACTACGTGCAGATAGAAATGGTTTGGGAGGAGGTGTTGCTTTCTATGTAAGAAACTACTTGAAATGTACTATTTTATTGTCTAATGTCAGCCCATTCCTAGAACAAATATGGCTATCTATAAAATATGTTCATAAAACAATAATCATATCTGTTGTTTATCGTCCGCCATCTGCACACATAACGAATTGTTTAAATGAGCTAGAGGATGCAGTAGTAAATTTTCTTCCTGAAAGCGATATATTTATCATAGTTGGAGACCTAAATATTAATTTATTAGCACGTGATCGTAAAACGGAACTATTACAGAACATTTTTGAATCTTACAATCTAGCTCAGTTAATAAATACGCCAACCAGAATAACTGATGCCAGCCAAACACTTATCGACTTATTAATTGTAAACAACCCGGTGTACTTCTCATCAGTAGATGTGGTGGATATTGATGGCATTTCTGACCACTTGGCAGTCACAGGCGACATCAACCTACCTAAATGCAACTATCTAAAGTTCATTACATATCGTGATTTTAGTTACTTTGATTCCAACTCCTTTAATCGAGATCTTTTCACTGTTGCCTGGGATGACCTATATGACTATGATAATGTGAATGACATGCTTGCTTTCTTCAATAACAACTTGATAAATTTATTCGATATGCATGCGCCTTACCGCACGATAAAAGCAACCAAGCCACCATCACCTTGGATTACATACAATATAAAGCAAATGCTCAAACTCAAACATAAGGCTTTTCAAAGATATAAAAGGATGAAAACCAATAGCAGTTGGAGATATTATACCGACTTACGAAACTACGTATGTAGCGCTGTAAGAAGAGAGAAAACTGCATATCTGAATTATGTATTGCAACGAAAAAGCCCAAAGAATACTTGGAAGACCCTAAGATCTCTTGAGGTTCTTCGCGATAAAAACACTCCTGATATTCCATCACAATTGAGGAATGTGAATTTGCTCAATGAACATTTCACCAACATACCAGTTTTGAACAAATCTCAAATACAAATCGACTTATTTGATAAATATGATATTCCCAAACATGAACCCGGTTTCACCTTCACTACTGTAGACCCTGGAACTGTTATTAAATACTTCAATAAAATTACAAGCAAAGCAGTTGGGTCTGACGACATTTCTGTTCATATGTTGCATCTGGTTATCCCTCATTTGATAGAGTACATAACTTTCATCTTTAACTTTGCTATTAGATCCAGTACCTTTCCCTCTCAGTGGAAACACGCTAAAGTCAGACCCTTAGCCAAATGTAATGAACCAGCAGAACTATCAGATTTAAGGCCAATTAGTCTTCTCCCTACTCTTTCAAAAGCCTTCGAAATGATCATAAAAGAACAGGTTACAACCTATGCGAGTGAAAAGAATCTTATAACTGATGTTCAGTCAGGATTCCGCCCACAATACAGCACTACTACGGCATTAAGTCTGATTACGGATGACATTTTCAAGAAACTTGATGAAGGGTATTTCACTTGTCTTATTCTGCTAGATTACAGTAAAGCATTCGACACTTTGGACCCGTCTGTTTTATGCAAAAAACTGAGATATTTCGGTTTTTCTGGAGAAGCAGTTGCGCTCATTGAGAGTTATTTAACTGATCGGACTCAGAGTGTTAGCCTAGACGGTGACCAGTCTTCTTCCTTGAGTAGATTATACGGTGTACCGCAAGGTTCTGTGCTAGGACCACTCCTCTTCGCGCTTTATATATGTGATTTTCACGAATTTGTAAGACTAAGTGAAATACATCATTACGCGGATGATACCCAGTTGTATATGTCGTTCAATTTCAGTGAAGTGAAAGCAGCTGAGAGACATATAAACGATAATCTTCAATTGATATTTAATGTTTCCAGTGCTCACAACTTAAAATTAAATTCCAAGAAATCGCAGGTTATGCTGTTTGGTGCCAAAAACAAGAGAAATACCGTGCGTGACTCACTTTCTATATGCATCAACAATGACGTAATTCCATTTGTAAATGAAAGCAAAAACCTAGGTTTATGGATTGATACGGATCTGAGATTTACAAAACACGTCAATCATTTATGTAAAGTATCTTATAATGTACTACGGCAGTTATATCCTAGTAGACACTTAATGTCAAAAAAACTGAAACTGAGTCTATGCGAGTCCCTGATATTTTCAAGATTAGCCTACTGCGACTCTATTTATGGACCAGCTTTACAACAACAGAATGTTTCACGGCTGCAAAAAATCCAAAATAGTTGTATTAGATTCTCATATGGGATACGAAAGTATGATCATATTAGTACCTCGTTTGAGGATTCTGGTTGGCTAAAAATGAAACAGATAAGAGAAATGCACCTCCTCACCTTCACGCATAAAATTTTGCATTCAAGAACTCCACCATATTTACGTAGGAAATTGGTTCCACTATCACAAAATGCAACTTCCCGAAATAAACATTACTTGCTGATTCCTAGACATTCTACCGCAATGTATACACGAAGTTTCTCTTATAACGCTGCTAAACTGTACAACAGTATGCCAATTGATTTCAAAGATTGTAGTTTACAAAATTTCAAAAAACGATTGAAAAGCTATGTTCAGAACAAGGCAATGATAATTCAATGACGTCTGCAGTGGTTTCCGGAATTCAGATTTGATAAATATTTAAAAAATTAAATAAATTCTTTAATGTTGGAATATTTAGTTTTATAGTATATGTACATGAATTATATTATTTTTCTTTGTTTGTCAATACTATATATATAATATATGTATTTGAAGGTTAGGTTTAAAAACAGCTTCATTAGCTGAACCTCGCCCATTCGTCATTCATGTATTATTTATTCTATGTTTCATAACATGTTTTTTTTTTACAGAATGATGAATAAAGCCTATTATTATTATTATTATTATTATTATGTACTGTGGTATATGGTTCACTTTTATATCAGGTGTTATTTCTATCTCACTTTTATATCAGGAGTTTTTGTAAAGATATAAAACCATTATAGCAATTCGAATTTAATCGATTGTTTTGTCGATCACATTGATCTGAATAAATGTAGGAAATTCTTATGAATGTAGGAACTTCTTCCTATTTTTCGAGCACATTTTCCTCTGTGCCTAACACAAAGGCTTTGGCATATTTATACGTACGGATAGGCTTTGACATATTATACGTACGTATACGTGCAGATAGGATTTTGCATATCTATTCGTAAGTATACGTACGTATAATATGTCATAGCCTATCCGTACGTATACGTACGTATAAATATGTCGGAGCCTATCCGTATGTATACGTGCCGATAGATATGGGAAAGCCTATCCGTACGCAAATATAGTTGTCAATTTAAGTACGGATAGGATTCTTGGTAGTTATTCGCACGTAAACGTACGGATAAAGTGCCTTATCGCTATTTGTACGTATTCGTTGACTATTATAGGTCCATTTGCACGTAAAGTGTAGCATTTTCACATCTCGCGTTATTTACATTATATCTAAACATTCGAGAACGAATAAACATAAAAGTCGCGATAATTAACTCGAAATATATGTGTGGTTTTATTTATTGTCATGGATACACCTATACTTGACAATAACTCAGATCAAATATCGCAATTCAGGATTCTAATTGCACTTCATTCCCTCTTCATTTAAATTTCTTCCATTCGTAAGAAATTCGGTGGTGTTGCTCACGTGTAGCTGCACGAACGATTGGCAGACTCATAATGTGTAGTGCACGAGATTCTGAAATAGTAATGTACCTACCTAACATGTGCGGAAAGTAATACTTTTCCGCACGCGACGGCAGTTGCACTAACGATGTGAAAGAGAATTCAGGCCAGCCGTCAAGGGTGGAAAAGACATTTTCCGCAAGTGTTAGGTACAATGTTCTTCCAACGAGTATTTTTGTCCATACTTTTTATCAAAAGAAGGGTTTTCAATGAACAAGATCTCATAATGCTACAAAATGACAGATAAGACAGAATATAGTTACGTAGATCTTTCAGTTAGTCCTAAATATCCACATTTTCAACAATACAATAATCGTGAGTAAAATAGTAACTTTTCCGCACGATTTAATAGACAATTCCACAGTGGATAAAGAATTCGGATGAATTACGTTACCATAGCAACGCTAGCTTTTATTTACTGTTCGTTTATCAAGTGTTGCGCGTCGCATCAGTTTGACAATTGTTAATTTCAGAAAGAGAATAATATATAGTAAATGATATTCCAGTAAGCGGAGTATGTAGAGATTTGGAAATATTTGCGATGCAGAAATAGTAAAGAGGATTAATAAACAACTCTTGAAAATATAAAAAGAAGCAATTCCTCCACTTGGAACCAATTTGGCGAATTTTGTAAACAACGAAACTTGGAAAACTTGGAAACCGAACAATCAGTGTGGCAATGTGGCAGGAATATCGATAAACTGGGGCTTCAATTTGAAGAAACAGAATAGAGAAGATTATAAGGAATACGTGGGAAAAACAATGTACGCTCTTGTGATCTTTTCAGAACAGCTCTCGTTGTATTGCCAATGAGAGTATTCGTGGTATTACCCCCGATAAAATCGTGCGGAGAGTAGAATCGTACGGAAATGTACAACTTTCCAAACGAAAAACCGTGCGAAAAGGTAAAGGGTACTTCGGTGCATACTCTTAGGAAAAGCATTTGTTTTGTGCAGTTATTCTAGAAATCCGTGGTTTAATCATTCAAACCGTTTACCACTGGACTGAAATTAGGTACTTCAGTGTATATCTATCCTTGAATGATTATAAAAAATTATGAGTGAGTAGTATAGTATCTTGCTGCTGTGCTGTGATATATCTCGAGGTTATCAGAAGGTTATAAGGTTTTATGAGGAAGGAAAATATCTTTCCTGCATAAAAAAGGGCTTACTATTAACCTTATTACTCGGCCTAGATGCACCTTTTTCCTGAAGAGTATATTTTTCAAAAAATTGTAATTAACAAGCCAAGACACTATATTTTTTTTTTCATCATAGATAAAACGTTCGGATAGTTTGATAGCTCAGTGGGCTGTCTATTTGACTTCCACGGCGGTTGCTCGTGTTCAATTCCCTGCAAGGAGTCGATTTTTTCTATTTTTTTTCATTCAAGTAATTTTTCGAAAGTATATACCTTCCAGAAAAAAGGTTTATTTGGGCCGAGAGGTCAAAAGTAGTCTCATTTTTCATGCAAAAACCATATTTTCCTTCCTCATAATACATGAGACTTTCTGCAGCACAACAACAAGCTACTATAATTTAATGACTGGCAAGAGACGTTTCTGTGTTTAGTCACTTCAAGTCAGTTCTTGGTTTTGTGTTCAAGTTCAAGTTTGAAAGCAGCGTTGCCGTCTCTGCAGTTTTGTCGCTAAATCTAGTGTTCAGGATAGGTGAATGCTCAGAGTTTGTTTTCATCATTTGTGCCGTTTCTGCCACTTTTGAGTGATATTTTGTACATTCGATATGGTTTTAAAAATGGTGGTGCTTGTATAAATACTTTATTTTGCTAAATCAGCAGTATTGGATGAACTTGAAGGAACCAATGTGATTTGTTCTGTGTGTGTTTTGATCGAAGAAATACTTCAAATGCGACCGAGAAAAATATTTTGTGATTAACTATATCATATATCGTTTTTTTTTGTTTTTTTTTTGAAAAAAAAAATATATATATAAGGTTATATGGTACTAAATGAGGAGAAATAATAAAAGATGTCGCTAGATCACGGAAAAAGTCGCTAAATTTTAGAAAATTTCACCTGTGGCAGGCATTCTGCACGCTATAACGACTTCAAGTCGTGTTGTTCGTGACTGCGACATTTCATATTCAGCTGCTGGCAACACTGTCTAAAACTTCTTGAAGTTGTTGAAGTGTTGAATCAAAATAAAAACATCTTCAATTTTGTGACTATTCAAATTATGGATGGAGAAATCGAAGATTATTTGTTATCGTTCCACAAAACAGACCTATTACAAATCCTAGAAAATGATGATACATCAAAACACTTTTCATTGAATATAAAGTGAGTTTATATCTTATATATGTTTAGGGTGACCAGACTTTGAAAATAAAAAAGAGTACATTCAGTAGGTAGTTCTATTGAGTAATAAAAGAAATAAGAAAAGCGCCACTGGCGTTTTTTATAAATTATTGTTCGAGGTCAAATGCCTTATAAATATATTAAAGAAACATATTTATTTGTTGATTTTAGCACAGATTAATGAAATCTGTGTTTTAGTAACTAAACAAATCAGGTACATATACCCACCACACCAGACCCACTAATAATACCTTGAAAGCTCAAAACACAAACAAAAAGGAAAAGTGATACACTATCTGAGCCATAGACATAGAGCCTCGCATAGAGCAGAGAGCACAGAAACTTAAATTGAAAGAACTAGAGAACACTGAATGACATCATCAGTCAGTTAACCGGAGATTGATCGAATTTCTTTCTTTCCTGATCTTATTTTCAGTTGTTCCTTATTCCTTATTAATCTCATTGTCAAATTTTTACTATAAACCGTCTAAACGGGTCCAACTTCAAAAAGGAGGCATTTACCTCCCAAATGAAAAAAGATAGAGTATGAAGACAGCAGCCTCGAAAAAGAATACTTGTATAAAATAGTTTATAATCCTTGCGTCTGGTCTCCCTATATATTTTTTTCTGTGACGGGAAAAAAATTTGGCATTTCATCTCTGTTGGCAGGTTATAAAATGTCACTTTTCATAAATTACTTTTTTCCAATGGGAAAAAAGTGAGTACTTTTTTCCCGGATATATATCACATATATATACACTGTTGATGGCTTTTGTTGTGCTATAGTTCCGAAAAATGAGTCAATAATACCGTCTCCGAGAAAGGAACTGCAAGTCCTTTTATCTACCATTCGACTTCGCGGTTTCGTATATTACTAAACAACTACTGAATTCGCAATTTTTTAAAATCAAATCACGGAATTGAACTAACAGAAGTGACATCAGATATTTGATTAGGTACTTCAAAAGAATGATGATGATGCCTATAAAACGCAGGTGTCCCTAGTTAAAAACTCGAAATTTCACGTCGATAATTTTCAGATTTCGAAATGAAGTAATAATAATATCTTCTCAATATTGATTCGCCCTTCCTTCTGTCACAGAAAAAAATAGTGTATTATACACGGGAAAAATATTAGATTTTAGCTCACGGTTTTTTGTCTCCCTCCGCTACGCGTCGGGAGACAACACAACCTGGAGCTAAAATCTACTACTTTTTTCCCTTGTATAATAAATAACTATATATATATATGTTGATGTGAGGTTATTCTCGATTTTCTGGCCACGCTTCATGACGTGTAGACGGTCGAAAATGAAATAGAGGAGATTTCGCATGCACCGTTGCCAAACTTCCCAGGCACGCTTTTTCAACTTTATGACCCACTATTGTATTCAAACTATGTTTGTTATTACTCATAGCCCGGGAGCCAGCGACATTTTTCAATGTCTTATTTGATAAAGCTTGGTTCATTTTTCTATCTGTCGCATTGTAATGCTATAGATTAGTTATTCTAGAGATATCGACGCAAAATTCACGAACGCTCTGGGATTATTATTAACGGAGATATAAAAAAGACTATGAAAAATGAAATATTATAAATTATTTGTACATTCTTTCTTACGGCTCTGCAAAATCTTTTCAGTTCCTAAATATGTATATTGAGTTATTCTAGAGATTTTGGTGAAATATTCATGAACGCACATCGGCGATTATCAACAATAGCTATCACAAAAAAAGGTAAAATTGAGAGATTATATTTTTTATAATATGTTCTCTCTCCAACGGCACTACAAATTCATTTCAGTTTCTTAATACGTATATTGAGTTATTTCAGAGATTTTGATGAAACATTCACGAAGGCACATCGATTTTTAACGAAGTTATACCGAAAACAGGATTATAAATTACAGATTATATGTACTATGTACAGGGGTGGGGACTTCAACTGAAATAAATTCTCTACTGTGGGAATGCATGATTTTTCTGAAAATTCGCGAGACACGTCAACGTTTAAATGTATTACCCTACATTGGGCGAGCTATATGGAGAATTCAGGGGTAGCTGGAATCAACCCCAACATGTTTTTTTTTTTCAAATGCAACCCTATGGCTTGCGACCTCTCATTGGAGAGCTGATGTTTGAATGATGAATCCAGCGTATTGATCATTCAGTTCGCGGTACGTTTGGGGGTCGCATTTAATCAAAATATAATTTCGAAGTTTGATATATTTTCAACGTATTTTCATCACAATTTCGACTTTTAGTTGTAGTAAATTATGACAACTATATTATTTACTAAGGTTTTTGTTCAACACACTATATGTATACTATGTATGTCTGATAAACGAATACAGTCCGGCAAATTAGGTTGTGTATCTTTAACCTTTTTATATGCTGACCGTTTTTTGTATTCTAGGGTGTTGTATCGAAAGAGCCAATAAACCAGTTGGAAATGAGTCGTTGTTTAATTAATAATGGAGCATGAAATAAATAATAATATAATAGAAAACTTAACATTAGTGACAGTGATCCTCCACCAGTTAGCAATAACACTCATTTTCGAACTGTGAATACGGCAAAATAAACAAATTTTTTATTTGCGGCTCTACAAAAACACTGGAATACGTTAGCAGATAGCAGTTGTGGCAAAAAATTGGCATCAATTGTTTAACACACATTATTAGCGATTGATACGTTGAAAAATAATTGAATTTTGAAATTACATTTCAATATTATGCAACCTTTAAACTTATAAAAAACTAAATAAGTTGACAGTACGCTGGATATATTCCTCTTGCCATCAGCTTTTCAATGAGGGGGATCACAAGCTATTGGGTTATATTTGAAAAAATCATGTTGGGGGTGGTTTCAGCTACCCCTAAGAGGGACATACAGGGTGTCCGGAAATTATGCGCAAAAAATCAAGGGGGCGATTCTGCATGAGAAAACATGAAATTTATTTTTTATATACTTGGGTCCGGAAAAGCATAGTTTTCACGATACAGTGTGTCAAACTTTCGATTTCTATTCAGCCAGGCCACGCTAGACACCTACAGACCGGTTTCGAGCTCTTTGACTCCCTACCCTAGCCGGATATTCACCATACTTCAACTTGTCTTGGGTGATATCCTCTTCTCTCTTCCTCTTTCAATCTATATATCGGCTTTACTTGGCCAACTTCTCTTTTCCTCCACCCCTTCAAGTCCAACCTCATCATCAAGTGGTGTGGGGAGGACAGACCGCGGCCGCTCGACGGATGAAGCATTTTGGGACCATCTTTGCTATCTCTGGGCTAGATGGGACAATTTGTGTACATCTGTGGCAGGGATGCGATTTTACTAAATATACTGCACGCTAGCACGAACCACGCCCACCATAATACGTCATATCTTCAAACATTACCGATATACTCGGAGTCGGCACATCGCACTAAATATACTGTGCCCCAACGCAAGAATACACTTTTTATGATTTTGACACGAATTCGACTAAAGCTCTCTCGTTGTCTCTTGTACGCAGTAAATTCATACACCCAAATGGTCAACTGGTTAGCGCTGTCGACTTTCAGTCTGAAGGTCCATGGTTCGAATCGCTGTGAACTTGAACTTCTTTTTGCAATTTTTTTTTCACCAATGTTTTTTTACTTCATTCTGGTTTTCCTTTTTCATAAAATATTTGAAGTCAAATAGGTTAGTGCGTTTAGGATAAATAACCTCATTTTATTCAATTTTGTTGAAGAACTCAACTTTTGAAATATATTATAAATCATTGTGTTTCTACACTCCATTCGGTTTTCCTTCCTCAAAAATATTGCAATCAGGGATAGGTTAGTTCGTTGAGGATGAATAGTCTCTGAGTTTTGCATAAGTAAAGTACTTTAAAGATGAGATATAACGGTGGGCGTGGTATATGATAGCGAACAGTATATTTAGTAAAATCGCGGCAGGGATGGGGCGATTTGCCGAAGACTGGTCAACAAGGCTCTGGCAACCTAATCCAAGCTGTGGGAACCCGTGGTGATGGATGAATGGCACCGAGGTATGGTGTCGCTAACAGGGCCTCTGGGAAACAGGGCGACATCTCAGAGTAAGTAGCCTTAGCCCTGTGCAGGGGGCACCACGGGGCTGGACCAACCCCTTCCCCCGTCACTCGTAGGAGAAGGAAAACTTTTGACCTTCTTCGTACACGAGAACAGAGATCGGAAGAGTAATCTTCGGGAACCTGAACGAAAAGGGTCTCTCATATTGAAGTGGCCCTTAATAAGCACCATGGTCGTATATGGTAAAATTGATAACGGCATGTAGGTCAGACGACGAGCCTACGAACGGGGTGGAGTGTTTAGTGGGTATACCTGTGGAGTCAGGGGAACCCCACACTATCATGTGGGGGATTGGACCCATATGGTGTCCATAAAGGATTTCAACTACATCGATAAAAAAGGGTGTTCTCCGAGACATATAACCTCCAGAAATTCAAGAAGAACACCAATTCCTACCTTATTTCCCTTATTGGTTCTCACGATGTTTTATGAACTTTACAGGATATCCCTTTTCGTGGGAACCAGAACGCTAGATGATTGGTGAGAGTCCAAGAGCACGAACCGGTCTGTAGTTGTCTAGCGTGTCCTAGCTAAATCGAAATCAAGTCGGCATTCAGGAAAGAATTTTTTTTACCAGTACTCGTTTATACGAGTCGATGCATATAGATTTCGGGAGGATGTAATTCAATGTTCTGCGTGGCATCATCAGCCAGGAAAGTAGTTGTTTTCTCCCTAAATCTACCATTTTAGTTCAGTTTATTCAACATTTCATTCCACTCTGAGCATTGTGGCTATTTCCTAGTCGATATACTAATATCATTTCGTTATCAGATTATGGTCGAAATTTGCAGCTGGCTCTCTTACTATGATGCGAGATTCGCAGGAATTGCATTCGAATCCAGTAGGTCTTTATCAATAACTACTGTCAAGGTCATGGCTACTATAGATTTTGATTGGAATTGAAAAAAAGTGCTTTCATATTGAAAATAGGTCCATATTTCACTTTCACAGAACTATAATGATCGAAATATATTGATAATGGTGATACAAATTCATTTTACACCTTGGAAGGGAAGAATACTATTACCACGGGAACTTATTATACCCCTAGGCTGCAGGGCTTCCGGAAGTAATGTCTTGGTCCCTCGATAATAAATAATGATAATTCATTTATTACTTGTTGAAAAGGAATATTCTCAGATAAATTATGAACATACAAAAATGGATATATATTTATATATAAAGCAATACATTGAGAATTCGCATTCTCCATGTGATGAGAATATTTACTCTTTCTCAGTTGATTCAATAGAAAACAACTACTTTCCTGGCTATATGCCACGACGAACATTGCATTATATCTATTGAACACACACGATAAGAGTTTGAAAATAAAATATAAAAACTTCTGAAATATGTTCATAATTTATCTGAGAATATTCCTTTTCAACACTTTCATACCCAATCAGGGGGTTCAAACTTGAACGATGGAAACTTGTGATTTTTATAGACTTCTAATCGCAGATTCGTGATAGAGTCTCAATTCAGAATTTCTTTCCACGCCCTGTACGATGAATGTCAATTCATCATACACCCAAAAGCATTTATTACTTCCTTGGTGTATGAATAACTATTTTAATTTCAACTGGATCTTTCCATCATCATCCATAGTTTCATCTTGCTTTACGAACATAAACCAGATTCAGTAGTGAAATTACTGAATGAGCCAGAAAAATGTTTGGTTGAATGGGACAAAGCTGCTTTAAGATCTCAAATGGTTTTGCTGAAAGATGCAGACATGAAATGCCAATTGAAGAATCACGTCCACTGTCGAATTTTTCACTTGCCGTATTGGCCTGCAGTCAGGAGAACAACTTTTCCTGGAAATAGAGATGTTGGGAAATTTTTTCAACTTTCAGGTGAGTGAGCAAGTTTTCAGTTAGGAAATACCACATGAAATTGGTTGAAAGGAGTAGGTATGGAGGGTGTCCCGAAATTGCACAAAAGAATTTCAACCACATATTCTAGGGACAAAAATAGTCAGAAAAATTTAATACACTCAGTTCCAAAAAAAGTGACGCACTTGATATGTGACCTATCTTCTTGAAAAAAAAAAACAAAAAATAGTAGGCCGATTTTTATTTTTTTTTATTTATTGGTAGGTAATGCATTTGTCTTTAAAAAAAAATAAAGAGATGAAAATTTTTTCAAAGACTCCTTGATGGTGGTGGAATAACTCGAACCATGATTTATTCTCAATTTTTGACTCACCCTGTGTGTTAATTGAGTATTGGCATAGAAAGAGCTTACACCCTATACGAGAGAAGCTTCTCTTGCGAGCATTTTGTTGTTTTATTCATTGATTTATCTCTGAAATTTTCCAAATTACAGCTTTTTTTCCTGAATCCTTGCAGATTACCAACTTTCTGAATTTATCGAGAAACCATTTTCTAATGAAATGAACTGATACCAATGATTTTGAAAAACATTTTTCCTCCGATTGGCAGCAAATATTAATTTTGCTGACACATATCAATCAGCAAAGTATTACTTTTCCTGCCTAGGCAGCAAAGTGGTTACTTTGCTGATTGATATGTATCAGCAAAATTAAAAATCCATAAATCGTTTATAATTTCCTTCATATTTCATCCGAGACTTCTCTGGCAACAAATTCAACTCTATATTTTTTGCCACCTCCCTTATTGATGGAGGTGTAAGTATACTTCCAGGTATCGCTATCACTGACCATTTTATAATAATTTAAATATACCGATATTTTTTCGCACAACTGTCAGAAATTTCATGAATTGTCAAACCAACAACTGCGATTTTTATCAAATTTTATTTTAATTGAACACTATACAGGAAGAATAAAGAGATTGTGAGAATTGTATTAATTCGCAAATACAATATTCTCCCATATCATTATGAACAATCGGAGAAAAAATTATATATTCAACTCGGCAGCAAAGTAGATTGACTGCCTTAGCTGGATTCCTGAATTCAGCCACGGCAGTCAATCTACTACTTTGCTGCCTAGTTAAACAAATAACTATTTATCAAACACAAAATTATAAATTGGGATCGATGGCTGTTTAATACCGTGTAATGCCTCCTCTAGCAACTCTAAGAAATTCTAATCTACGAGGCATACTCTGAAAGTTAATTTGCTTATCGTTTCCATTGGTATACGATCCCATTCTTCCACTAATGCATCTGCCATTTCTGCGAGACTTTCCGGAGACCTCTCGCGAGAACGTACCCTTCTCCCTAATTCATCCCACAAATGTTCTATAGGATTCATATCGGGGCTTCTCGCAGGCCATTGTAATGTGGTAATACCAGTAGCTTCTAAGAAGATTCGCACTATTGCTGCGGTGTGTGGTCGGACATTATCCTGCATCAATATAAAATTATTGCCCACTAACTCTGCATAAGGTGAGACATACTGCTCTGAAATGTCAATGTAAATTTATTCATTTATCGACTGCCTCACCGGAAAAACATGAAGGGGTGTCTTTCCATTCATTGAAATCCCTCCCCACACCATAACGGTCCCACCATTAAAACTTTCGCATTCTGTTATTAAATTTTGATTAAACCGTTCACCAGTTCTTCTCCACGCTCTTTTTCTTCCATCCACCATGTTAAGGCAAAACCTAGACTCATCCGTAAACAAGACATTCAACCATTCAGGAATATTCCACTGTCCATAATTTTCAAAAAAATTTCTTCTAGCAGCACGATGTTCGGGCAATAATTTGGGACCTTTTGCAGGTCTCCTAGCTTTAAAATTAGGTAACTTCTTTTAGACGTCTACATACCGTCTGCTTACTTACTGCAACATCACGAATTTGGCGAAGATCTTGCTGAACATTTACCGCAGTATTTGATCGATTCCGTAAAATCCGCGATCTCAAGAAGCAATCATCTCTTGGAGAAGTTTTTCGGAGGCGACCAGAACCGACTCTCCGATCGGTGCTTCCTGTTTGTTCGTACTTGCGGATTGCTCTACGAGCAGTTGCTTCATGAACTCCCACTGCACGAGCGGCGTAACGTTTACTACGTCCATCGTTTACTAACGCAACTAATCTTGCTACTTGTTAAGGATTTATTTGAGGCATTTTATGTAACTTGAGTCATTAAAACAAGACACTTTTAATTAATGACACATTGACAAATGGTCGAATATGGAGGCATACAACAAATTAATTGCTATGACAACGGCATTTGTTTTTTTGAAGACAATGTGATCCTACCAGAGTACAACCCAATCAATTTTGAGTACTCTGATCAGAGATGTATAGAAATTTAACTGGTGGGCTCACTCTTCAATAATTGTTTCGTCAGACTAACTCTCGATATGGAACAATTGCAAGCGAGTTTTGGACGTGGGGTTCAGGTATTTGCGATAGAGGTGCCGATTTTAATAAGCTTCACTTCTTTCATGACATGAACCTATTCAAAGCATGAAATTTGAAGAATTCCCTCTTTGAAGAACCAGAACAAAGAATGTACCTATCAACTATTGAAATAGACCAATATCGAAAATCATAATAGGCATATATGTTAACTGGTACTCACCTTAGAATGTATTCACACCAGTTCACGCTAATATTTCAAATCACTGAAATAATAGGTACTGTTGTAGAACAGAGATTTTCTTTTTTCTTTGGTGGATTATAGGTATTATACACAAAATATAGAAACTACGAAACACGTCCCTAACGAACACTTGACCCCAATCTCAGAAATAACCATTTTTCAGCTCAAGAATATTTTTGACCTATTGACGTTTCCTTCCTTTGATCAGGAATCAGTTCGCTGCTCTGATCCAAATCATATACGTATCCAAATATTTATCGGTCGGTAATATGTTTCCTGTAAATATGGATTGTAACCAGGATGAGCTTAGCGAGATTTACCCATATACGTATATGGATTTACCCACGTCAAGTATGTTTATCAAAGGTTTATCAGAGTAGAGGCGCTATCGAGAAACTTGCAAACGACCTTCAATAGGGAGCAAGCGCACCAGTTAAATTTCTATACATCTCTCTCTGATCCTTCGATAAATTTAATTTGTTGATTAGCGTGAGGTATCAGCAAAAAAACTGTGATTCGGAAAATTTTAGAGATAAATCAATGAATAAAAAAACAAAATGCTCGCAAAAGAAGCCTCTTTCATATAGGGTGTAAGCACTTTGTATACCATTACTCAATTAACACACAGGGTGAGTCAAAAATTAAGAATAAATCATGGTTCGAGTTATTCCACCACCATCAAGTGAAAAAATGTTCACCCTTTTTTTTTTTTTTCAAAGACAAATGCATTACCAACCAACAAATAAAAAAAAAATTCAGCCTACTATTCTTGTTTTTTTAAGAAGATAAGTCAAATATCAAGTGCGTCACTTTTTTTGGAACTGAGTGTATAAACATGAGCCCAGAAATGGCCCCTTATGCCCGAGATGATGTTTTTTTTTGTAAATATTTCCGAAACCCTCTGTGTGGAAATTTTCACATGTATATTATAACTTTCTATGCCCGATTTGGAAATGTTAAGAGTTTTCCCAAATTTTGATCAGGGGCGTGGAAAATAGGTGAGGCTAGGGGCATTTCTTTCCACAAATTCTTTTCTATGCAATTTTCTGCAGTTTTACCAGGAAATATGCGGATATCCTAATTTCTGCTTCTAAATTATACTTCTGTTTAGTTTCGATAGCACTCATCCCTTGTCGAGATAAATCGATTTCAAAAGCCTGCTGCCTAACAAAAATAGTGCTTTTTCCTTATGAAAGGGTACCAAATTTTCCCAAAAATTGTGCTTCGATGGGAAATACCCTTTTTTCAACAACTACTGGTGATGTTTGATTCGAAATATGAGAGGACCAATAAAACGAATGAATTGAAAAATGTTATGGTAGGTATACCTACCCTATTAAGAGAAAGTACTATTTTTATTACGCAGCAGACTTTTGAAATTCATCTATCTCGGAAGTGGTGAGTGCTATCAAAACTAAACAAGATTTTTACGTAGAAATTATGATCTTTTTATCTGATTTCAGGACACCCTGTATTTATTTATAAGGTTTCTGAACATCTCCTAAAGAGTTTGAAATTTTGAAAAATGAGTATGTCCCAGACTATTAGATCACCAGTAATTTTTCAGGTACTGTGATGCGTGTTACATCTCCAAAACTCCTGGAATTTCAACGCAGTTACATTTGTGTAAAATGTAAAACCCCAGTAGAAGTGACAGCAGAATATGACAGAAAATACATGATAACACAACCTACAGAATGTGAAAATGATTGTGGAGGTACATTTTTTTATCATGTTCATTCATTATGAAAATACTCGTGAAAATATTACGTACAGGAAAATCATTACCTGTTTGGTATGGCTCTACAGGGTGATGGTTGGTAAATAAAGTCTTCCATTTTCAACCAAAAATTGAGATAAGCTAGAAAAAGGTTTCTGGAATTCACTGATTTTGCTATGTGCAACAATACTATTGAAATTGTTTATGAATAGTCGAGATGTTGTGATTTCTTTATTAGGAAAACCGAATCAGTTTATTAACATTAAGTTCAATACGACAGTTTAATTAAATTATTTCTTCTGACTTCTAACTTCAAAACATATATATACAGAGTATACAAATATCATAGCTTCAACTTAACAATTTTGCTCAGCTCAACTTCAACACTTTCCCTTGTTAAATGAAGATATGAGATCATTTATGCAGGATCACAATAGTCCCATCTGATTGCATAACACTTGTAGACGTGGCCTTGGCAAACTCTTCGTCATAATGTCTGCAACCTGCTGTTCAGTTGGAATTTGTTGGATTCCCAATGTTCCTTCGGTTACTTTTTCTCTTATGAAAAAATGTTTGATTGCTATATGTTTAGTTCTGCGGTGAAATTCGGGGTTCTGAGCTAATCTCACTGCTGCTGAATTATCTACTTGCAGAACAGGAACGTTCTTTAATTTAATGATTCCCCCGAATAATCTCGCCAACCATATGATTTCTTTGGTTGCTTCGTTCGCTGCCACGATTTCAGCCTCTGTTGTAGAGGTTGCTACCATCGCTTGTCTTTGGCTAAACCACGAAATTGCACCACCTGCGTAACATACGACCACCCCTGATGTTGATCTTTTGTGATCTCAGCAGGGCATTTGACTGTGTCAACCATCAAATTTTACTATCAAAACTGTACAACTATGGAGTTAGGGGTTCAGCCCTCGGTTGGATTTCTTCCTTCTTAGTTAACCGACTGCAATACGTTAACATACCAGGGCAAATCAATTCTGAAACGAAATTAGTGAATATAGGTGTTCCGCAAGGGTCTATACTGGGGCCAATTTTATTTCTTCTGTACACCAATGATCTTGAGGAGTACCTAACAGAGTCCTATGTAACGATGTATGCTGATGACACTTCTTTGATACTATCGGATAAGGACGAAATCAAAACACATCAAAAAAGTGAACAAGTTTTGAAATCTATAAATGAATGGTGTAGCTTGAATTATTTATATTTGAATGCCTCTAAGACACAAATCGTGAAATTCCACAACTGGCAAAAAACATGTCTACCATTAACCGTCCGCATCAACGATGTATTAATAAATAATACTAATGAAACAAAATTCTTGGGCCTGATCATTGATGAAAATATCAACTGGAAAAATCATTGTGTATTCTTAAGCAAGAGACTGAACTCTTTGTGTTATTTGTTCAGAAATCTCAAACAAGTCTTAGAGGAGCCTCAACTGTTATCCTTGTACCACTCTCAGGTAGCTTCAAGAATTAGATATGGTATATGTTTGTGGGGCAACTCAACTTCCACTCATGATATTTTCATCTTGCAAAAAAGAATATTGAGAGTAGTTGCGGGCGTTCCTTCAACCAACTCTTGTAGAGAATTGTTTGTTAAATATAATGTTCTGACAATATTTTCTTTATATATTTATGAATTATGCAACTACATATTTAAGAACAAAACTAAATTTCCTCTGAATAAAAACATTCATAACGCGAATACACGACAGAAAGAAAATTTTCATATTCCACATTATAAATACAGGGTATCACAAAACTCACCTGCATATATGGGTTTGATGATTTACAACAAATTGCCACAAGAAATAAAGAATGCTAATGAGAGCAGGAAGTTTATCACAGCCCTTAAAAAATTCCTAATTGAGAATTGCTTTTATTCATTGGATGCATATCTCAAGATGTGATTATCATGTATAGTACTAATTAGTATTATTCTATTATTGACCATTCATATACATATACATTTATGTTATGTTATGTTTATGTAATTATACTGTGCCCTTGTCCTCTTATACTCTTTTTTGTTTTTGATGTTGTTATTTGTTGTTACTTATGTATACAATACTGTGACGTATCCTATATCATATGAGTGATCAAAAGGACCAATAAAGATTATTATTATTATTATTATTATTATTATTATGATCGTCCTGTCGTCGTGCATCCACCAAAATCTGCATCACTGTAGCATTCGAGAGAACCTTTGTTGAAATTGGGACGGTAGACTATACCCAAATCAAGAGTGCCAGCTATGTATCTGAACACTCGTTTCACTCTTGCAATATCTTCTACAGTTGGTTTCTCTAGCGATCTTGACAGAAACCCTACACTGTAGGCTAGATCTGGTCTGGTTCCAAGCATAAGGTACATCAAAGCGCCAACTGCTTGTCTGTATGGAAAGTCATGAGCTTTCTCATTAGCTTTCCCTGATTTAGATATTTCTGGATTCTTCAGCATTGGCGTGGAGATCGGGTTGCAACCAGAAAAGTTGAACCGTTCGAGAATCTTCCTGGCATGTGTATTCTGACTGATTTTGATACTTCCATCCTCTCTCTGATCAATTTGAAGCCCTAAATAATACATTGCCGACTTCTTGGTGATTTTGAACTCAGATTCCAGCTCTTCAAGAAAATCTTCCAAATCCTTCTTAGCGTTTGCTACTATCAAACCATCATCTACGTATAATACAATGATCAACTTATTAGTATTTCCTTCTCGGGTATATAGACATGGATCAGCTTCACTAATCACGAATCCAAGGTTAGACAAAAACTTTCCGAAACGTTTGTACCAACATCTTGGCGCCTGTTTCAACCCGTAGAGGCTTCTCTTCAGCTCGCAAACCCTATTCGTACCGTCTTCGAATCCCTCTGGCTGATTCATGTAAATGACTTCTTCCAGTTCCCCATACAAAAATGCTGTGGATACATCGAACTGGGCAAGATGCATCCTTTCACTTGCAGCAATGCTCAGAATTGAACGAATGGTTCCTAACTTTGCTACTGGACTGAATGTTTGACTGTAGTCGATCCCTTGGCGCTGGTTGAATCCTTTGACTACTAGCCTGGCTTTGTATTTTTCAATACTACCATCTGGGTTCGTTTTAATTCGAAACACCCATTTACATGGCAATGCCTTGACTCCTTCTGGTAAAGTTGTCAACTCCCATGTTTTATTCTCTTTTAAAGAGCGTAACTCACTGTTCATAGCCTCTCTCCACTTAGTACTATCTTTACTTTGGAGAGCTTCTTCGAAAGTTACAGGATTCACTGAGTTGATCAAGTCCTCTACAGACATGATGAAATCATCCAAACGTGTGGGTTGAGTGAGCTTTGACCTATCTCTGAGTCTTCTCGTGTATGTTTCTTGAAAATCTTCTTCTTGAAATTCTTCTTCTTGAAAATCTCCATTATCATTTTCCATTTCTACGAAACTTTCTCCTTCAGATTCATATTCTGCATATTGCTCGTCTTTCTCTTCCTTGTTTTCACTGTTTGGTAATGGCAATTTGATTTTTTCAGTGCATTCTCCTATTTTCTCTTGGAATTTCACGTCTCTAGACAGAATAACTTTGTGACTTTCTTTCAACCATATTCTGTAACGTTCATCTCCATCATATCCTATTAAATACCCCTTTGTTGCTTTCTTCTCCATTTTTCTTCACTTTTGAATTGCAATATGAGTGTAACAGACTGAACCAATAATCCGGAGATGTTTTATTCTTGGTTTCTTACCCAACCACAGCTCATATGGACTCACTCCCTCCACAGATGTCCTAGCCATTTCGACTATAGTGCGGTTCTCTCTCTCACTGCAACCATTTTGCTCAGGCGTATATGGAGCTGTTAGTCTGTGTGTGATACCATTTGTTAATAGAATCTTCTTAACTCCCTCGTTCTCGAACTCCCCTCCATTGTCACTCAGCAACTCCTTAATAATATGGCCAGTCGTTTTCGCATGTGCAATCATGTGTTCTAGAGCATTTTTCACTTCTGACTTCTCCTTAATGATATATCCATAGCGAAATTTCGTATAATGGTCTTTGAACACAACTAAGTATCTCTTCTTCTGGAACGACTCGTCAAAAGGTCCACATACATCTGAGGATACCAGTTCACCTGGACTTGTTGCTGCTTTTCTTGTGCCAAATGGTTGCCGATGTGCTTTACCATAAATGCATGGCTCACATAAATCTTGGTCAATTTTTACATTGATACCTAACTCATTCTCGAGTAGCTTCTTCACGTGACGCTTATCTTGATGCCCCCATCTTTCGTGATATAACTGAAGCAATGAGCATTTTTCGACAACTGAATTCACCTCAACTCTCTGCTCTGGTATTATTGATTTGATTGCTGCTTTATACAAGGTTCCACCGATTTCGCGAATTCCATGTAAAACTTTTGTTTCACCAATATCAAAAGAGCACTCTGTAGGTGATGATCTGAACTTGCTATTCGTATTCCTGTCATGAGCTGCCAAAACAGAAAATAGATTTTTGGAGATATTAGGAACGTACCATACATCATTTAATGTCATATCTTGGCATTTGTCACCTACTAGTGACATAACATGAACGGTACCTTTTCCAATCGCATCGAGACTCTCTTTTCCAGCGGCTTTAATGGTACAGGAGCTATCAAAATGTTCAAAGCTCACGAATATATTTGAACAATTTGTTACATGCTTTGTTGCTCCATTGTCTACCCACCAATCCGTCGAATCTGTTTCGACTGAGTTGAATTCGTTGCCTATCGACATAAGTGCTACAGTGGTGACTTCAGCTGCACTAGATAGACCTTTTGTCTCTTTAGTCTTTGCCGGTCTCCCGTCTGCTATCCACTTCTTGCAATTTTTAACCCAGTGGCCTTTCTCTTTGCAATAGTTACAGATGTCACTCTTCTTGGTAAGTTTCTTCTTGTAACTCTGAACCTTTCCTCTTGCAAATAGTGCCTCTTGAACTAATTTCTCACTATCTGTACATGTTGTGAAGTTCCTCTCATACATGCACAACTGTGTTGTCAATTCATCGAATGTCTTCTCGTCTTCTTTTGCCAACATCATCCAGCTAGACTGAAACGTTTCGTAACTTTTTGGTAGAATATGGAGTACTTTGCAAACCAAAATCAAATCTGGTAGAGCTGGCAGATTCTTCATTTGTAGCCCGTTATTGAGTTCATTCCATAAACTCCTTAACTTTGCAATATGCGTAGAAACATCGTCTCCAGGTCTCCATATAAAAGCGAAAAACTCTGTACAGATTCGGAATAGCTGGTCTTTTGATGTTGCTTCAAACTGCTTTTTCAATGCTTCCCAAGCTTCATAAGCTGATTCCTTATCCATGATCTTCTGGTATACTGAATCACTGACTGAAGATGTGATCATTGACTTGGCATAACTATTTGCCTTACGATATAAATCGGATTTTTCTTTGTACTCTCTAACTTGAGCTGCAGTAGCACCATCGTCTAATGGAGGAGCATCTAACGCTCCTTCATGATAATCTAGCAGATCCCTGATTTTCCTTTTCCACATAGGCCAGTCTGTCTCACCGGTCAATGGTTTGATGTGCTTCGATAAATCCATTCTGATATGGCTGTTTAACGACACTTCAAATTGTGAATTTACAAAATCACAATACGACTGTTTGCGTGCATGAGCCCATAACCTATTGAAATTGTTTATGAATAGTCGAGATGTTGTGATTTCTTTATTAGGAAAACCGAATCAGTTTATTAACATTAAGTTCAATACGACAATTCAATTGAATTATTTCTTCTGACTGCTAACTTCAAAACATATATATACAGAGTATACAAATATCATAGCTTCAACTTAACAATTTTGCTCAGCTCAACTTCAACATTATAACTGTAATATTCAATATTCTATGCACCTCATCTTGAGAAGTTTTAGATTTCAACGCCTATTGGTCATCTTTATTTTTCTTCTGTACCTATGTTGTTGAAAGAGTTTTCAAATTCCAGCATTTTAGGAAAAGATTCGGACGCCACTGAAGTTGTGATTTTGATTATCTATCGCCATATATATTATAAATTGTATATTTTGAACCCTCAGAAAAAATTAGAGGCATATAAGAAGTTTCAATTTTGATTCTCGTGAAAGGATTTTCTTTTTTTTATTGTTGCATAAATTGCGACTTCATATCATCTTTGACCCTTTAAAAAATGGTCGAGAGGCAATGAATGAATTAGGCCTGGTATAATTCCCAATAAGGTAAAAAATTGGATATATGGGGGTTCAAAAGCATGAGGGTGTTGGTTTTCCTGTTAAAAATAGCAGAGGTACAATTTTCAAGAAATTTTCCTCTTTCAACTCAAATGAAACACATATCAGAAAAGACTGCTTGCAAGTTCTCCCAAGAATCCTTCTGGAACAAAACGAGGTCTTCATAGACCTTTTAATTGAGATACGCCTACCTGAAAAATAGCAAATTTCTTCTAAAATTGTGCACATCTGTTCTTTGAACATTTTTGAATTTTTATTTGTGCTAAAATATAAGGAACAATGAGAATAGATTTTCTAGGGTATTTTTTATCTCTCAGAGCGCACGCAAGGGAATACCTATAAAGTTTGTAGAACATCGTGCGTACCTAGGGACGATAGGGAGAGGATGAGGTAGGTGTTGGATTTTTGCTTGAACTTCTGGAGGTTATAATGAGTTCTTGGGATTTTTTTTATGTTCTGGTTCCCACGAAAAGGGATATCCTGTAATGTTCAGAGAACATCGTGAGAACCAAGGGAAATAAGGTAGGAATTGGTGTTCTTCTTAAATTTCTGGAGGTTATATGCCTCGGGGAACACCTCCCTTGGCAATGAGTTCCAGAGCCTCGCTGTTCGTGGGATGAACGAGTCTTTGGAAAGAGATGTTCTGCAGGGCTCCAAAGTGACCACGAACGGGTGCGAAGACTCAACTCGACGAGTTAATCTCGCAGGGACTGCCAAGGAAGGAACAATTGTTGATATTTCAGAAGAGCATCGTCTATGAAAATATCTATAAAATAGGGCCAGATCGCCAACTTTTTTACGGTGTTCCAGAGAAGTGAGTGAGTTTGTGAGCGAGGCATCACTCACGAGACGAATTGCCCTTTTTTGGACAGAATCCAACAGTTTCAGGGTATGTTTGGGTGCTGCACTCCAAATATGGGAACAGTATTCCAGGACAGGTAGGATCTGTGTTATATAGGTCATAAGCAGCTGACTGGAAGTGAAATAGCTCCTGGCCCGAAACAAAAAACCAAGTTTTCAAAGGTATGGTTACTCCTGACAAGCTTATGTTGGGCATTGGCAAAGAATTCCATTGCTTTGCCGTTCTATAGACGAACGAGTTTTGGTAGATTGTTGTTAGACGTTCTTCAAGGATAACGACGAAGGGATGTGCTGACTGGGCATGTTGTCGACTTTTCTATGGTGTTTCAATGGGGTCAAAGAGTAAGTGAGTGTGGCATCACCCATCAGACGAATGGTTGTTCTCTGGATGGAATCTAAGAGCATCAGCGTATATTTGGGTGCTGAACCCCATACAAATGGGAACAGCATTCTAACACTGGCCGTATCTGTACTTTGTTGATCATGAGAAGCTGTTGAGATGTGAAGTAGATCTACTTGGTGCAGGATTTCAAGTTTCTTCCCAACATTTTCAATATAATGAATAATAATCAATGAGAAATAATTATTGCAGTTTAGCATTCATACTTCCAATTCACTATCAAAACACCCTGTAGTGTGTCTCAATTCCCAATTTCATGATATCTCCGTTAGTTGTCTTTGCATATACCGGGTGGGCGAAATATTCGAGATGCATGGGGATCTTGGAAACGGTAAGAGCTATACAGAGAGGGTTAAATAGAAGCAAAGTTACGCAATTTTATTCCTAACAAAATGTTGTTTAGAAAATTCCGAATACTTCCGAAGAAAAAAAAAACGAATATATGCTATTTCATTTTATTTTTTTTGTGACTATTTGAATAGATATAGTAAAACGAATAACACATTCTCATTGCTACTTTTCCACAAGATGGTGATATCATATTTTCAAATCGACGTTTCGTCTTTGAGTTGCCATCATCAACTTTTTTTATTTCAAATAGGGTCCAGTTTTTTTTATTGGATTTTGATAGCTTCCAATCTCCTGAAATCAACGGTGTATCGCAATTATTCGAATGATGTGTTTGTTTTTATCCCTATTAAAATCTATTCTTCATCTCTCTCAACACATGGGTTCTAATGGAAAATGTCATTAATATACAGTGTGACCCACTTCTAATGGAAACACCCCTGATGTATCTTACGTAATCGTTGGGTAAGGATCCTGGAATCTTCTGCAACGAGAGATATGCCAAAAATGCACTATATGGCCAAGTGGGGTCATCTTCAGTGATATACACTGCTCACCAACAGCCATGAAACCACCCCACTTTCCGGAAAATGATATTAAGAGTCAAAATAGGTTGAAAATCACCTTGGATTCGAAATCAGGACGCCCAATTCACTAACTACTCATAGTTTTCCTGGAAAATTTTCAGTGCGAAAAAATTTAATTTTGTCTCACTCCTCAAGGAAGCATCCCCGTATCTCACGTAATTATTGACGTAGGGTTCTGCAATTTGCAGGAGGAAGAGAAAGTCCAAAGATAAAATCAATTACGTAAGATATTGATGAATATTTTGAATAAGTTTGATACACCGTTGATTTTAGGAGATTGAAAGCTCTCAAAATCCATATCAAGAATTCCAGGGCCGTATTAGAAAAAAACAAGGTTGATGTTGGTAGCACAAAGAGGAAACGTCGTTTCCAAAATCTGATTTTGTATTTTCTAGAACAAAAAAAGTAGCAGAGAGAAAGTGCAATGTGTTTTGTGACATCTATTCGAATAGAGTAATAAAACATATGAATGAAATGGAAAATATTCGTTTTTTTTTTAATCTGCTCAGGAGATTTCAATGATGAGGCTCGAATTCCAGCCACCCTGTACACATTCTAATCGTAGGAAAGAATTTCGTGAATTTCGGCGGTTTGGACAGTGAAAATTGCAGAGACTACCAAGAAATAAAGATACAAGAACAAGTGAAACAATTAGGAATGGGGTCGATGCCTGATGTAATGTTGGTCACCCTTGAAGACGATTTGGTGGATTTTTGCAAACCAGGCGATAACGTGACAATATGGTGAGTAATAAAAAATGTATATCATCAAGTTCGTGAATAACAAGCGATGATTATAGATTCATTCAAATTTCAGGAGATTATTTGTGAAGTGTGTAAATTGTATTTTTCTACTCACATAACTAAAATGGCATTTAGCGTACGGATATGTACCACGCTAAATGATCGATTATTCACGAATTGACGATATTATGTGCTTTATTCGAAATATTAAACACGTTACCATGGCAACACGATTTCTTAAACACATTACCATGGCAACACAGTTCATTAAACACAGCTTCAGTAATTTTAGACATGTCTGGCCTATCAATTGTATCAACTGTCAACTGTTATTTCCAAATTTCGTATCAGAATTATTCAAACAATATTTGTTTGCATCAGAATTATTCATTAAAAATATATGCGAAATGTATAGACGAAAGTGAAATCAAAGAGAATGTTCTGGTACTTGCATATCTCCAAGAAGTATAAAAATGAAGCATCCATCTTTGAGAACAATTCATTCATTCTGCGCTAAGCATGATATAAACGTGAAACAAAGGTTAGTAAGCAAAATGGACTGGACACATCTACAACCAACATCACTTATTCGTGTCTCGCTGGTTGCATGCAGTTGCATGTATTATGTTCTTAATTCCCATTCCTTTCGAATTATTTTGTAGGTTAGCAGGAATAGCAGGTATGTTAATGTAATTTTCGGAGTTCATAGAAAAAGCATAGTATGTAACGCGTTTATAAACTCTTCTAGACACTCGTTTATTAAACACTCGCTCCGCTCTGCTCCGCTCGTGCTTAAAATACTCGTTACTAAAAGGACGTTTATAACATACTTGTTACATAATATACTATTTCCTAATGACCTTGCTTTAAAAATCATATATCTGATGATTTTTAATGAAATCCAGTGTTTAAGGAAAATATTGAGAACAAATCAACGAATATTGATGAATAATTGATTTCATCATGAAAATATGACTAAAGTAAAACTCAAAGAAAAAACAAAATAACACTAAGTCGGTCGACCACTGAGTTTTATTACAAAAATTGACTTTTTGTGACTAGTTTCGGCTCAAATAGCCATCTTCAAACACAATACACCGTACCTATAAGGCCACGTGGAAATCACATAATTAAATTGAAAATATAAAGGAGCCGTGGTCATTTGGCCAAAAATCAGTCCGGTAAAGGATTTTCGGCCAAATGACCACGCCTCCTTAATATTTTGAATTTAATTTTATTATGTGATTTCCACGTGACCTTATAGGTACTGTGTATTGTGTCTGAAGATGGCTGTATGAGCCGAAACTAGTCACAAAAAGTCAATTTTTGTAATAAAACTTTGTGGTCGACCGACTTAGTGTTATTTTGTTTTTTCTTTGAAACAATCTGGACCACTTTGAGAAGGATGGATGGTTTCCATGACTTGAAGTGGAACTCATGTCAAGATCAAATTTCTAAATCAGTCTGAGGAATTGCCTAAAATTCTTCTTGAAGGGCGAGTCGTAGCTCTTGAAGAGTTTCTGGCAATACCGGACGGAGATGAATGCGCCCCTATAGTTTATCCCAAAGATGCTCTATAGGATTGAGATCCGGGCTGCATGCTGGCCAATCAAGCCTTAGAATTCTGACCTCATTCAAATACTTGTTGACAATTCGAGCAACGTGTGGTCTGGCGTTTAATTGCATTATGCATTTCCTGAAGAATCGCTTATATGGAAAACGCATGTAAGCTCAGTCTTTAAAAAACTGAGCTCAAACTTCTATGCAATGTTTCAATTGACAAATATACTTGGCAAAAAATCCTTTCCTGACGTGTACTATGCACTGATAAATTCTGTCATATCCTACAACATAATTTTTTGGGGAATTAGCAGCCACATTGACAGAGTATTCAGCATAGATCAAAAGCGTGCTGTACGACTCATATTTGTGATGTACTGCCACTACTGTGGCAACAATGCAATGTATGCGCACAAGCGCCACCTATTTCCGGAAGATTTAAAAAGTAAGAAATGAAGAAAGTAACTCAGTCTCGCTACGCTCTCTCACTAGTCTGTACGTAATGTCATAATGTAAAGTGTCTGACGGATATTCAATAAAATATAAAGTGCTAGTAAAGTAATGGTTTTATTGCTAGTCTAGTACAGTACAATATTCAATTTAAAACGAACCGATTTATGAAGACCATTATGTAGTACGGAATTCTCACTACGCCGTTTCCTCCTCTCTAACCAAGAAACATGGAATGCTAGCCACAACTGCCCAGGAGAAAGCCTACATTTTTGCGCATTTATTTGCTGGAAATTCCACTTTGGATTCATCGGAAAAACAACCTCCAAACATAACGCCAATAATTGACAGACATATGCCCGAGATCACCTTTCGCCAACGTACTATAAGGAAGATTTTATTGGCTCTCAACACCAACAAAGCTTGTGCCTCCGACGGAATCCCACCGATTGTTCTCAAGAAATGTGCTCCCGAACTAACATCTGTTCTCTGCATTATGTTCAACTACTCTTACAAATTGGGGATATTTCCTTTCAACTGGAAGATTGCAAGAGTACAACCAGTTCCTAAAAAAGGCAGAAAGACCCTACCTAGCAACTACAGACCGATCGCACTACTATCTATAATTTCAAAGATCATGGAGAAAGCTATCAACATCGAGCCCATGAAATACCTGGATCATTCAGGTATTATCAACGATAGACAATATGGCTTCCGTCATCAGAGATCAACTGGTGACCTGCTCGCTTACGTCTCACATATATGGCAGCAACCTATTGAAGAATATGGTGAAACCTTAGCCGTGGCACTTGATATCTCCAAAGCATTCGATCGAGTCTGACACCACGGACTCCTCGCCAAGCTTCCATCTTATGGCTTGCCTCCCCAGCTAAGTTCTCTGCTAGCTAGTTTTCTCTCAACCAGGTCTCTCCATGTAGTGGTCGGCGGAGTTTCATCTGACTCTCTTATCATTAGTATTGGTGTTCCGCAAGGATCAATTCTAGCACCAACACTATTTCTAATCCATATCAACGATTTGTTGGAAGCAACTTCATGTCCAGTACACAGCTTCGCGGATGATATACCCTCCATACCGCCTCCTCTTCCAGGGCTCCAATACCAGCCAGGCAACTTGGTGGATTTCAATGGAAACAAAACATAAGCATGTCTTTTCTCTAAAAAAGCTGATCTCACTGTGCCAAACATAACCATGTCAGGAGAAACCATACCTTTGAAGACATCCATTTCGATGCTTTGTATTACTATCAGCAATCACCTTTCTTGAGAAAATCACGTAAGATCAATTGCGAAAAGTGCATCCCAAAAACTTGGTTTTCTGTTTCGGGCCAGGAGCTATTTCACTTCCAGTCAGCTGCTTATGATCTATAAAGGCACCAATTCCTGTCTTATTTCCCTTAGTTCTCACGATGTTCTCTGAACATTACAGGATATCCCTTTTCGTGAGAACAAGAACAAAAAAAAAACTCCCAGTCCCACAGATATCCAACAAGATGTTTTGACTTACTTAGAACAAGAAAACATGGAACAACTCTATACGAAAAATTACCTAAATGTTTCGTCTGCCTACCGGAATAAAAAAAAAACTCTACTCCACCTTCTCAAGAAAAGAGTCAAGACATTACTAGCGTCTGTAAGTTTTTATTCAACCGATAAATTCCTCAACTTCAAATTTTAATAGTATATTATGTTGTAGCAGTTATAAGCGTGTTCTCTTATCAATATTTATTTATTTCAACTAAATGATAACTGCAACTTTGACAATATCAAAAATTAATTGACATTATTTCATTCCTTCTATCTGACATCCAACTTGCACATACTGGGGGTCAGCTACTGCCGGTCAGCTACCGCCACATACTCCCTCCCCAGTGACAACGTCCTGAGATTTCGTGAGAAATTCCACGTTTCTGGTAGACTTCGTCTTCGCGAATTCAGTTTGATTGGTCAGTTTTTGATTTTGGCTTAAAAGAGTTTCATTGTCTTCATTCAGGATGAATGCAGGTTTCACTCTATCTATAGAGATGGTCTTTCTTCCTTTACTGGTTTCAATGTCAAAAAATTTATCAGATCTGCTAATAACTGGGAATGGGCCATCATAAACAGGTTGCAATGGTCTTCGATGTGCATCGTGACGTATGAACACATGACTCGTAGTCCTTAGTCCTGGGTGGATGAATGCCTTCCTTACAGAATGATGTCCAACCATAACAGGTTTTATCTGTGCCATATGTTCTTTCAAATTAAAAACTAAATTTGGAATATTCGAATCATATTTGGTTTCTTGAAAGAAATCTATTGGAAGCCTTATTCCTTCTCCATATAATATTTCAGCAGCTGTTGTATTATATTCTGGAATCAAATAAGATCGTAAGCCTAATAGTATAACAGGTAACTTTTCTGACCATTTTTCGGATAATTGAGCTCTCAAAGCAGTTTTCAAGCATCGGTGCCAACGTTCTATTTTTCCATTCGAAGCTGGATGATATGCTGTTGTTTTGATGTGATGAATTCCAAGATATTTTGTCAAAGACTCGAACAACTTGCATTCGAATTGTCTTCCTCTATCTGTTGTTATAATGTTTGGAATTCCGAAACGAGCTATCCACGAAGACATTATAGCTCTAGCCACTGTTTCTGCCGAAATATCCTGGACAGGTACAGCTTCTGGCCAACGTGAAAATCTGTCAATCATCGTGACGAGATATGTGAAATTTTGGGATGATGGAAGAGGTCCTACTATGTCGATGTTAATATGAGCAAATCTTTTTTCTACAGTATTATACACACCAACAGGTGAGACATTGTGTTTCCAAATCTTTGACCTCTGACATGGAATACAACTTTTGGCCCAAATTCTACAATCTCGATTGATAGACGGCCATATGAAATGTTTCTTTACCATGTTCAAGGATGTTTTGATTCCGGGATGTGCCAAATTATGTATTGTCTCGAAAATAATTTGTCTGTATTTCTTGGTTACGAATGGTCTCAGCTGCTCATTCGAATAATCACAAATTAATTCCTCACCACTCGGAAGTACAATGGAATGAAATTTGAGTGAACAAGATTTGGACTGCTTCAGCTGATTGAGTTCCTCGTCATTTACTTGAGATCTAGCAATTTCATCCAGAGTAACTTGTAACGGAACATTTACTGAAGATATTCTTGAGCATACATCAGCTGGAATGTTTTCTCTTCCTGCTATGTATTCAATAGAAGAAGTGAATTGTCCAATATAGTCCAAGTATCGTAATTGTCTCGGCGAGGCTTTGTCTAAACGTTGTTTGAAAGCATAAGTGAGAGGTTTATGATCTGTGAAAATCGTAAAATCTCTACCTTCCACCATAAAACGAAATTTTTTCACTGCTGAATAAGCTGCTAGAAGTTCTCTGTCGTAGGTACTATATTTCCTCTGAGCCTTATCTAGTTTTTTTGAGAAGAATCCTAGAGGTTCTAGTATGTTATCCCTGACCTGATGTAGTGCAGCACCAATTGCAAAGTCAGAAGCATCGACTGTTAAAACTAGCGGAAGAGTGCAAGAAGGATGGACTAGAAGTGTAGCATCAGCTAAGTCCTTCTTCAATTTTTCAAATGCCTTGATACTCTCATCATTCCAAGCTACTTTTCTTTTATCTCTCTTCTTACAATTTTTCGAGAGGTCGAATAAAACTGCCTGAGTTTCCGCAGAATTGGGTAGTGAACGCCTATAGAAATTGATGATACCAAGGAAACGTCGAAGCTCTTGAATGGAAGCAGGCAACGGAAAATCGGTAACAGTTCTGACACGTTCAGCTAATGGTTTGATGCCTTGCGCATTCAAGACATAACCCAAAAATGAAACTTCTGGAACTCCTAAGGTACACTTCGCCAAGTTGATGTTGATGTTGAAGTCACTCAATCTCCTGAATAACAGCTTCAGATGTTGGATATGTTCTTCTTCACTTGATGATGCAATCAAAATATCATCAATATAGGCGAAAGCGAATGAAAAATCTCTCAATACTGAATGGATAAATCTCTGAAAGGATTGAGCTGCATTACGTGAGCCGAAAGGTAATGTTAGGAATTCAAAAAGACCAAATGGTGTAACTACTGCCGTCTTGGGAATATCTTCTGTTTCTACTCTGATGTGATGATAAGCCCTTACCAGATCGATCTTCGAAAATATTATTTTCCCATCTAGTTCACTATTGAAGTCGTGAATATGAGGAATCGGATATCGATCTGGTTTTGTGACAGCATTCAGAGCACGGTAGTCTCCACAAGGACGCCAAGAACCATCTCTTTTGGGTACCATATGAAGAGGACTGGACCAGCTACTTTTCGACGGCCTGCAGATACCGAGATCAACCATATGTTGAAATTCCATTTTTGCAGCAGCGAGTTTATCAGGGGGTAAACGTCTTGGTTTTGCAAATACTGGAGGTCCTGTTGTGACAATAACATGTGAAATGTCGCTGTAGGCTGTGTCAAAATTTGGTTTTTCAAGTAATAAGTTTGGAAATTCCTTTAAAATATCTTCGTATTTCTGCTCTGGTTTTATGACATGAATCGATAAGATATCACTTTTGACTGGAACTCCATTACTGGTTAATAACGTGGTATGATCACGTACACATTTATTCCTAATATCGACCAATAAATTGAAATTATTGAGGAAGTCTGCACCTATGATTGCATTTTCAACTTGAGCCACCGTGAAAGGCCAGTAGAATGATCGCCGTAAACCAAGATCAACTTTCAATAATTTTTCACCATAAGTCTTGATGCGGGATCCATTAGCTGCATATAATTCACGTTTTGAAACAATGGTTCTTCCACAGATGAATTTTGGGGGAATGACTGAAATGTCCGCACCGCTATCTATGAGAAATCGTATCCCAGAAGCACGATCCATAATAAAAAGGCGGCAAGATTTTTGGCTTCCATCACCTGCCGCGCTCAGTGATGGATTTGTGAGTTTTCCGCTGAGGTTTCAGAACTATAGTTGCATGGGTCGATACACTTACTTGCCCTGTCTTTGAATTTTCTGTGATACCAACAGACTTTTGGGTTTAGATCTCTTCTGAGAGGAGTTTTGGATCGACTTCTTGTCTTGGATCCACTTGTTGAATGAAGATTCTGTATCGAGCTGACCAAAGAAGAAATGTGATCTTCTAAGCGAGAAAATCTGTCATTGATTGACATTTCTGCGGGTGTTGATGACTTTTTTATAGTCTCGCAAAAAAACTGACTAGAAGGTGAGGTCATCTCGATGATTTTATCTGCCATTTTAGCAACTGTATCTAAATCATCACGGCTAGTCGCAAGAATTGCACGAGCACTTGAGGGTAGCCTTTGTATGAACATAGTTCGGAGAAAATCATCAGTAACTCTATCTCCTGCTAGAGCTCGCATCTCTCTGAGCAATGTTGATGGTTTTTTATCACCTAACTCAATTTCAGTCAATAACTTCTTTGCTTTACGTTCCTCCGACTCTTCAAATTGCAATATTAAACGTTCCTTCAGATCGGTGTAGGGTTTTTCAGAAAGTGGTCTCGAAATTAAATCCGATATCATTTCCGCAACCTCAGAATTTAATGAACCAAGAATATGATGGTATCTGGTTGTCTCATTTGATATATTAGCTGTGATGAACTGCGATTCCACCTGAAGAAACCATATTTTGACATTTTTCCGCCAAAATACTGGAATCTTGATCGAAACTCGAGCGATCTCATTAGGTATCCTATGTTCTGGAGGATCTGGCATACTGAATGAGTATTTACAGAGATGAAATTCAAGAACGTACCTCCGTCTCTTGATGAATCGCTTGGGAACTTGGTGTACAAGATTTCGAAGCTGTATCTTCTGTAAATGTCTGGTACAAGCGTTCGGGGTCACCAATGTAGCAGTTATAAGCGTGTTCTCTTATCAATATTTATTTATTTCAACTAAATGATAACTGCAACTTTGACAATATCAAAAATTAATTGACATTATTTCATTCCTTCTATCTGACATCCAACTTGCACATACTGGGGGTCAGCTACTGCCGGTCAGCTACCGCCACAATGTAACAAGTGTTATAAACGTCCTTTTAGTAACAAGTAGTTTAAGCACGAGCGGAGCAGAGCGGAGCGAGTGTTTAATAAACGAGTGTCTAAAAGAGTTTATAAACGCGTTACATACTATGATTTTTCTACGAACTCCGAAAATTACATTAACATACCTGCAATAATTGCTAACCTACAAAATAATTCGTAAGGAATGGGAATTGAGAACATAATACATGCAACCAGCGAGACACATATAGGTGATATTGGTTGTAGATGTGTTCAAGCCATTGCTTACTAACCTTTGTTTCACGTTTATTGTCATGTTTAGCGCAGAATAAATGAATTGTTCTCAAAGATGGATGCTTCATTTTTACACTTCTTGGAGATATGCAAGTACCAGAAAATTCTCTTCGATTTCACTTTCGTCTACATTTCGCATATATTTTTAATGAAGAATTCTGATACAAACGAAAATTGTTTGGATAATTCTGATACAAAATTCGAAAATAACAGTTGACATTTGATACAATTGACAGGCCAGACATGTCTCAAATTACTGAAGCTGTGTTCAATGAACTGTGTTGCCATGGTAATGTGTTTAAGAAATCGTGTTGCCATGGTAACGTGTTTTATATTTTGAATAAATTACAGATCGAAAATCCGTGATTAATTAATCATTAAGCGTGGTACATATCCGTACGCTAAATGCCATTTTAGTTATGTGAGTAGAAAAAATGTTTTTAATGCTTGTGACTTTGTGTTAAAATGTTCACAATTTGTTCCTTTCTGTTATTTTTTCTACATATTCTGTATAAGTGAACGTTTTATATGTATGTATATATCCACTTTTTTTGTTCTGGTTCCCACGAAAAGGGATATCCTGTAATGTTCAGAGAACATCGTGGAAACCAAGGGAAATTATGTAGGAATTGGTGTTCTTCATGAATTTCTGGAGTTTATATGCCTCGGGAAACACCTCCCTTGGCAATGTGTTCCAGAGCCTCGCTGTTCGTTGACATTTCCTATATCATTGTGAAGTGATCTATTTGGGATGAATTAAATATTGAATTGTATTTTATTGTATTGTATAGATTCTGGAAAATACAAATCAATGTTTTTATTGCATATCTGCATATATTTATCGAACAACGTGTCGTTTTTGTTCGTAATAAAACAATCTACTATTGTACCACACAATTCAGAATGTACCAATTTCCCAGTGGCGTACTCAAGCGTAGATGGGGCGAATTCGTGAAAGGCAAACTGATAGAGATCGACTTGTCGTTCAAGGCCAATCACGTGCAAGTCGACAACAGCAGCGCATCCATGACGGTTTCCACACCGGAAGTCAGACAAATGTTCGGCGACTTCTGGGAGAAATACAAGGGGAACCCGCTGGAAGGGCGGGACGTGATTTTGAAGTCGTTTTGTACGCAAGTAAGTGGAATTCTGACAAATTAAGTCATATGTTACAAATTCTCGATTTTTCTATATTTAAATATGGGTATTGTTTACCATTTTTGGACCTTCCACTTTTCTATAGATACTTCCACGGCAAATGTTCCTCAGAAATCTTTAGTATAATTCCATCACTAGCAATAATACCAGTCAAACGAACTCGACAGGCCCAATCAGCACATCCCTTCGTCGTTATCCTTGAAAAATGTCGAACAACAACAACAATCTTTGGAATTCTTTGCCAAACATACAAACATTAATTTTTATATGATATAGGAGATTGAAAATCGGAATACGAAGGTACGTATTACGTTTTTGAAATATTTACTTGCTCTGTCGTACTTCCGGTTTGACCGGAAATTACCCAATTTTCGATTTTTGAATAGGACATCATTATATTTTCTACTATTTTGATCGAGAATAACTCAGAATATTTGACAAATTGATAAATTTTCATTTCAATTTTTATTTTTCGATCTAGAATGCCATGGATCGTGTGAAACGCTTCATTTCAGATCAATTACAAAATACGACTTTGTCTCTCATGACTTCACAGTCATTTTGAGAAATATTTAATAATCCCAAATATGAATTTTTTCTTTCAACTTGATTTTTTCGAATGGAAGCTTTTCTGAAAGATCACTTTCTCACGAATGATTTGAATGTCATTCTCGATCGAAAAAAGTATAAATATAAAAGATGTCCCATTCATAAATTCATTGTTTGGATGATTTTCGGTCAAACGGGAAGTGAGAGAAAGCAAATCAATGTGTCAAAAAATTCAAATCTTCAATAATATTATAAAGATTAGAGATTTATTGTTTGTTTGTATTGAAAACGCTCCAAAACTACTGCACCGATTTGACTGACAATTGGTGAGGAAGTAGCTTAGAACCAGGAGACGGATATAGGATACTTTTTATCCCGGTACTATTAGGAAATTCAAGATGGCGGATCCAATATGGCGGATTTCGTGATTATGATTCGATTCTATTCAAAATCAGTATTTTGAAGTTTTCAGGGTTGGAGATTGTAATTATTTCTTCGAAATTTGGAAATTCAAGATGGCGGATCCCATATGGTGGACGATTTTCGTAATATTAAGGTCCGATTCTATTCGAAATTCCTATCTGGGGGTTTCGGGGCCAGAGATTTTGATTTCTGCGTGAAAATTCAAGATGGTTGATCCAATGTAGCGGAAGAGAGTTTTGTAATTATAAACTGATTCAATTCCAGATTGGTATCTAGAGATTTTTGGGACTGGAGATCATTATTCGTTCGTCAAAATTGGGAAATTCAAGATGGCAGATCCAACATGGCATAGGAGTTTTGTAACTATGATTCGATTCTATTCAAAATTGGTGTCTGAAGGTTTTCGGGGTCGGAGATTATGGATCTTTCGTCAAAATTAGGATATATTCAGGATGGCTCATCCAATGTGGCTTCCATAGATAGCCAAACTGAAATGGAGCTGAAACCAAAATAATAATGGTGTGTTGATGAATATTCAACTAAAAAAATATTTTCTAGATATGTATAATACAGTGTGTCCCACTTACCATGCTCACCATGGGTATCTTTTTAACGGTGAGAGATACGAGGTCGGTTAAATGACACCAAATGTGGAGTTTGTCAGGGCCAACTATAATGTGAAAAAATATTTTGATAAAATCTATTCGTTTTTGTTTTATACGCAAAAAACTGATTTTGATCATTTTCATGTCTTCTCCGTAACTTCTTTATTTATGAAAATATTCAAATAGGAATTTCACATTCTCATGACAGTTTTTCAAAGTGATTTCGAAAAAAATATGAAATTTATACCAATAACTCTTCTAGAATTTGAGATATCAGCACCAACTTTAGTTTTTCAAATGTATGACTTAGTTACAAATAACTTTTTTTCTCTTCCAGATGATATGTCGCAGTAATAGTTTCGTGTTGATAACAACGGAGTTATCGTCATTTATACAAGAACAAAAAATTATTTGGAAGCCGCCATCTTGAATTTATGAATTTTAACAATAAATCATGATCTCCGACCTCAAAAACCCCCACTTACCAATTTTGAATGGAATCGGACCAGATCTTGTCCGCCATCTTGGAGCAGCCATTTTTTTCAATTTCAACAAAAATTACATAACTCCTATTAACTTGAAATTTGACAGGTGTTCATAATTTCGGTGACAATACATTATGGAATTTTTGTTGAAATCAACAAAAATGGCTGCTCCAAGATGGCGGACAATATTTGGTCCGATTCCATTCAAAATTGGTAAGTGGAGGTTTTTGAGGTCGGAGATCATGATGTTTTTGTTGAAATTCATAAATTCAAGATAGCGGCTTCCAAATAATTGTTTGTTTTTGTATAAATGACGATAACTCCGTTGTCTTCAACACGAAACTATTACTGCGACATATCATCTGGAAGAGAAAAAAAAGTTATTTGTAACTAAGTCATAGTGAGCTATGACCTACATTTGAAAAACTAAAGTTGGTGCTGATATCTCAAATTCTAGAAGAATTGGTATAAATTTCATATTTTTTTCGAAATCACTTTGAAAAACTGCCATAAAAATGTGAACATCCTATTTGAATATTTTCATAAATAAAGAAGTTACGGAGGAGACATGAAAACGATCGAAATCTGTTTTTTGCGTATAAAACAAAAACGAATAGATTTTATCAATTTTTTTTTTCACATTATAGTTGGCCTTGACAAACTCCACATTTGGTGTCATTTAACCGACCTCGTATCTCTCACCGTTTAAAAGATACCCATGGTGAGCATGGTAAGTGGGACACACTGTATACTAATATTATGAAGAGAAAATATTTGTTCGTTTGTTCGAATTGATTATGCTCCGAAACTACTGGATCAATATGAAAAATTCTTTCACTAATGCAAGCCGACATTATCCTTGATAAACATAGGCTACTTTTTACAGTGAGGAAATGCTTTTTTCCTACGGGAAAACGGGTAATATGGCTATGAATCTAGATAACGAATATAAGGGATTTCAAAGTTTAAAATTGCTTGAACTGTCTCCAAAAATGAAAAAAATATGGGAATGAGTCACCTCTCTGATAGCACACAACGTCCTTGGGACGTCCCTATTCGGTACAATTCGTGTCCGAATGGCCCGGACCGAAAATAAGTGTCCTTGGGACGTCCCATCTCGTACATCTCATGCAATGTCCGAGCAAGGAGGTCCACGGAATGTCCCAGCAGGTACATCATTTCAAATGTCCTAGAAATAGCATCCCTTAGATATCCCAGGTGGTACATATTGTAGAATGTCCATGCAAGTACGTCCTTGGCATGTCCCTGATGGGATGTGATTTTAAACGTTCCTTCAGGGACATCCATCGGATGTTTCGAGTAGTACCTACATATTCTGACATGACTTCAGATCTTATAAAATATGATGTCCCTTCTAGACAACCATGAAATTTCCCTGATGGTACATTCCTTCAGATATCTCTGCACAGACGCCCTTAATATCTCCAGGATCGTATAACAATCGAAATGTCCCTTAGGGACATCCTTAGAATGTCCTTTAGGGATATCCGTCAAATGTCCCAATAGGTACATGAACTGTACTCTTCCAATGTCATAGAAATCACGTTCTATGGACGTCCCAGTCGCTACTTTCAATATGTTGTCCCTGCGAGGACGTTAACTTACACCTCGCCGACGAATGATTGCTCGTAGGCTAAAATACTCCCTGTCAATGTCCTTCACGTAAGTCCATTGGACATCCTTGGGAAACTTTTAACGTATTCATTGGGAACCTTCTACGGACCATCAATTCAACTGGTTGTCCTCATCAGTTATGCAAGATCTTGTCCTAGAGGAACCCAGAAAAATTCAAAATCAAGAATGATTCCTACGTCTCTGGAACATCCTATGGACATCCAATTGTCCTAATACAATGTCCTGAGGATGTCCTCCGTAGTGCTTGATGAGGAATACTGTAGGATTTAGGTATACGATAATTGTCACAGGGTCATTCCTCAAGGACGTCCCTAGTTGGTCCTCAAGTGGGACATTTGTGCGTCCCACAGACGTCCACGGTACCAACTTCGAACGTTCTATGGACGTCCTGAATGTCCCGACAGGACGTCCTAAGGAAATCCATGGGACATAATTGTGTTATTAGGGCTTGGAGAGTAACCCAATAATTTTCAGTTCATTATATTACCTATAAATCAACTATATATCCAGATAACGAATATAAGTGAATTCAAATTTCATAATTTCCATGTTTGACTGAAAAATCGGTAGCTTTTTTTATTTTTTCTAAAACATCGTAATTGTTTGCAACTCTCAAAATTCTTTCGCAGTTGTACGGCCTCTATTTGGTGAAACTGGCCATGGCCGTGGTGTTGGCCGGCGGCGGCCAATCTGCGCCTGCGCCGGCCACCGGCGAATCGACTTCGGCCGCCTTCCGCACCCGATCTGAATCCCATTTGCTAATGGTCGGAGATCCGGGCACAGGCAAGTCGCAGCTGCTCAGGTTAGTATCAGCTAAATCGATCGTTTCTATCGTTACCAATAATTCGGTGATTTTGTATCATTTGCGAGAAAAAATGAGGGAGATCCAATTTGTCGTTGCAACAAGTTTTCATGATAAAACATATACATTACGTTCATAAAGTAACCCATAAATTCATTATTGGCTGAATGAACAATAAAATTAGAAATTCCCGAAACAGGTCGATTTTTGATTTTAATTCACTATCGTTTCAAATCATAATCTAATATACAGGGTGAACCACTTTCGTGTAATGAAGTCATCACCATTTTTTTCAAATGGAACCCCTCTTTTTTCAATTCCCGAATTGCCCTTGCTGAGCTGATTCCAAATATGTGTAATATTATTATATTGTTGAATATTTCCATCAAGTTTTGGTGTACCTTTCTTTACTGCATCCCTCACATGTCCTAATCATCTGTATATTCGCTCTATTCTGCCTACCGTAGATTGTGAAATAGGTTCATGATCTTGGTGCATTTCATGGAATAATCGGCATACCTCTTGTTGAGTCCGCATCTTATCGCCAATACCAATCATCAGTAATATTTCAATCCTATCACTTTCGGTTGAAGGCATTTTGTAAAAAAGTTCACGAACGTACCTTCTCTGAAGTGTTAACAATACAAAACTGTGTTTCAATGTTCCTGACAGTTTTTAGTCAAATGAAGAAAATGGTAAAAAATATTGCCAAATAAAAAGATTTTTGTAGTTCACGGGCTTGGATCACTAATAAAAGCTGTTAGATACACTTATTAAGCATGATGCTGGATCTTCTTGACTGTTCATCAAAGTAGTTGTATAGAAATACGTAATTACATTCAATGTGTTCATTACGTTTATTCTTTATTTATTACTTTGTAAGTAAATGTTTGCATTTTTGCCCACCCTGTACCAATTTGAAGCAACGTATTATACATTTTTGGAATCAGCTCAGCAAGGGCAATTCGGAAATTGAAAAAAAGGGGGCTTCCATTTAAAAGAAAATGGTGATGACGTCATTTCACGAAAGTGGTTCACCGTGTTTATTAGATTATGATTTGGAACAATAGTGAATTGACATCAAAAATCAACATGTTTCGGGAATTTCTAATTTTATTGTTCATTTAGCCAATAATGAATTTATGCGTTACTTTATGGACGCACTGTATATATAGGCCAAACCAGGCGACCCATAAAAACAAGGTTCGAAGAACACATAGCCCATCTAAAATATGGCAGGTTAGATAAATCTTGTGTAGCCGAACATATGTTCAATCACAATCGTAACACACATATTACTAATCTCAAAGTAGTTAAGCAAGTTGATAATATTAGATAATTAGACGCATATGAAAGCTTGGAGATATTTGGATTAGTAATAGAGTAATGAATAAGGATAATGGACCCATTCCATATAGCCCTCTATATTGTTTAGTGATATAAAATATTACCTTGACGAATACTGTTTGTAGGTTAATCGAGGAGGTGATACATCCATTTCACTTGATTTTTTGGGATTTCCTATCCTCGTTTCTATAAAATGAAAATATGCGTATTATTTCAATATATTTGTAGTGGGACAAATCATCAGATGATTTGCCCCAAAATGTCACTGCGTTTAACGCAGACAATAGCATTTGCTTCCTGTTCAGTTGATATACAATAGAACATGGTATTCACTACTGAAAACTGAACATGAAAATGGTAGATTCGAGATCAATTGATGAAAACATCCTGTAACTCATTGGTAGACTAAAATCACTCATTCATATTCCAACATGAGTATGACACTGAAGTGTCAAAACTATAAGCAGCAACTTCCAAAAAGGAATAGTTTGCATTTTTATGGCGAGAACGGGAGCAGATTCGGTCCCGAAACGTCCAAAGATAAGTAAAAATTCGATATTTTTCCAATACATATATCTATATTTCTTTCCTTCAAACATTTTCCAAACAAATTGTCACTGACAAGCTACTGGATTTTTCTTTCAGGCTCCCTGATAGAAAGAGTTGTTAAATGCATTGACATTTCGGGGCAAATCATCTGATTTGTCCCACTACAAATACAGTCTGTCCAAGATAAGGTTGAACAGCATGGGGATCTCGAAAACGATAGGAGATACGAAGTCGATTAAATGGGGAAAAAGTTGCGCATTCAGAGGCTCATATCAAGAGCCTTCAAACATTTTTGAAATTATTTTCAGTTTTTGAGTTATATCGAAAAAAGTTGAATTTTGGAATATCTATTTTATTATTTTTCTCCGTCATTATTAGAGATACAGAAAAACTGAAACTACTTTCTCATAGCAACTTTTGATGACGTTTAACGTGGTGATACCGATTTTTCATGCGACGTTTCGTATTCGTAGAACCATCATCAACTTTTGTTTTTTCAAATACGGTCCTGAAAAAATCAAGCAAAATAAATTAACTTGACGGTTAGTGTTTTTCACGGTTGGGTGAACATAAACCTATTATACAGGGTGAGTCATAACTATTGGGACATAGGCTAAGGGCGGATTGTTTGGACCAAAATATGGTGATAGCACCAAATATGGCTCAATGAAATATTGCTGTGGAAAACGATACAGGGCATTTCAATCGAAAAAGTTCTGACTCTAAACTCGTACCAAAATTCATTAAATGACATGAAAGTAATTCACCAGCACAAATTATCTGACAGTCCAAAACACTCTTCATAATAATTAAAATAATATTAGAAATCCCCTTCCGAGACTTTGAACTGTTCAATTGCGTTTTTCTCGAAAACGGATGATAATATCGTTTCAAAACAAGTGTACCAATATTACGTAAAAATGATATTCATGACATATTTTCTAATCAAAATCACTGAAAAGTTTCGGCAAAAAAGTTATCAGTCGATTTCTTCATTCACGTGGTGCCCCCTATTACAAACTGTAAAATAATACATTGTAACAAAATCCAGGTTTTTACCAATTTGTATTGAGTTGATTCTCCTATTCAAATGCAGGTGTCCGTACTTATATCGATTTTCTATATTTCAACTAAATTCGCGAAGACGTTCGATACCGGCGAAAACTCGGCCGTCCCACTTTTCATCTCCACGCGCTTTTTGAAATGCTAAAGAGATTCACAGAAATTAATTTTCGCGGTAGGTACTCTGATTCTTTGTACTATATTTGTATCTAATAACCAGTGGTTCTTTCTGTGCACCAAGCCACCAAGAGATTTATTTTGCTTGAGCCGATGTACCTGTTATTTAGGTGAGTTTAATTTTGCTCTTTATTCTGTTGCTGGTTGTTTTCCCCCATAAACGAGGTTATATAGGACTAAATCGATTCATTTCGTTATTTAGATACGAACAAGTTTGAAGATAATTGTACCCCATAAGGCGGATATTTGCACCGAATTAAAAGGATATCATCTGCTTCACCAAATTAGTGTTTTTGTTACGAGATACGACCCAAAAACCCATCCCCTGAGACCTCCTCAGCAGTCACTGGCGCCCATTTTGTTTGACTTTGTGCCTGCTTTGTTACAACATCAACTAATATTCCCTGTATAGAATTATGCCTCTACCGATTTTGATGATAATTGATGATTATACAGTGAAATTATTGACAAAAAATGAAAAAAAAAAAAATTCAACCACAGCAATATTTTATTGATGCTTATTCGGTCCTATCGCCATATTTTGGCCCAAACAATCCACCCTTAGTCTATGTCCCAATAGTTATGACTCACCCTGTATAAGCAGCACACCAGAATAGGATATTTAGTTTTAATCTTCTCCTGAAGATGCTAACATAGTTAGCGAAACAAGTGTCGAGGAGTTTAAAAAATCGGTTTGGTTAGTGGTAAAACAGTGTAGTGTATTATCGTGCCAAAGGTTCCAGTCTTCGATATAACAAATTTTTGTTCATAAAAGTGTGGCTCAAAATTCTAGTTTCCCATTCACATTAATATTCTTGATATGCTGTTGAAACTTTCAGGTTCGCCACCAAAATCATCCCTCGCTCAGTGTTGACCACCGGGGTTGGATCTACAGCGGCAGGGTTGACTGTAACCGCTACCATGGTAAGTACCTATTATTCTGGTCCATGATGAGCCTGTGTATCAGTGAAATTTTTTTCCTTCGAGCGTGCGGAGAAAAGAACTTTTCTGCATAATTTTTCGTTTTGAAAGTACTTTTCCGTAGGATTTTACTTTTCCGCACGGTTTCGAAGGAAATACCAGTAGACATGTGGCTAACTGTTGGCACCAGAACGTAACGTAAACAAAATTACTTTCAATTTGACAATAAAATATATTCGCGTCAAAAGGTTCGATTATGGGAAATCCACTGAACCTTAACTTGCTGAGATTCTCATGGATAACTTGGAGAGAATAATACATGAACACTCATTGATAAAACAATATTTGTAATGGTATAGATAGATAGATAGATAGATAGATAGATAGATAGATAGAATTTATTTAACCACGTTACACAAAAAAATTCTATGTTTGTAGCAGGTCAGATACAAGATACAAGTAGTGTTATATTGTTAAGCTCACATATTAAAAATAAAAAGAACATGGAAGTTAACAAATTACAAGTTTAAAAATCTGAAATCACAATATTAAAATGTTCCATAAGAGAAAAAAAGTCAATACACAAGTAATGAACACACTAAATGAAAGACAACAAACAAACCAAATTTGGACAGCTAAGGAGATGTGAGTTGTTTGTGAATGCGAAAATGCTCTCTGAAGTCATCGACTGAGTAGAAGCAATGTCTCAATAGATACTTTTTAAGTTGTTTCTTGAAGGAATTCACACTGAGCACTCTGAGATCCTGTGGCAAAATATTATACATAGAAAAATCTAGGGTATTTTTTTGGGATAATTGAAGACGATATCGATTTAGTCTGATCTGATGACATTTTCTTGTATTATGTTCATGAATATGAGATTGTTTTATCATACATGACTGCTTTTTGTGCATCTCAACTATAGCACAGTATATAATATAGAGTTGGCAGTGGCATAATTCCAAGTTTTTTGAAATATTCTTGGCAGTGATCCCTGTATCCGATTTTAGCTAGAATTCTCAAAGCCTTTTTTTGCATCCTAAAAATGTGTATAGCATGACATGAATTTCCCCATAGTTGTATACCATAGCTCATATGAGAGTGAAAGAGGGAGAAATATGTGGTTTTCTGTGTACTGGTGCTGGTGAATTTTTTCAACTGTCGAAGAACAAATAAAGAACTTGAAAGTTCCTTTTTTAATACAGTAATATGAGCAGACCAGCTGAGTCTACTATCTAGTGTAATGCCAAGCAGTTTAACTTGATTACTCTCAAAGTTAGAAACAGTTTGATTGTTAGCAGAAATTTGAATGCATTGAGTCTTATCGCCGTTAAGTTTAAGCTTATTTGATAAAAACCACTGATTAGCACTATTCGAAACCTCGATATGTAGATGACGCTATAGTATGCTTCAAAATAACCAATGAACAATAAAACAATTTTCACCAATATAATTATTATATGTATAATACTATTCATCCAAACAAAAATTTCACAATGGAAATAGAAACAAAAGAGTCAATCAATTTCTCAGATTCGACAATGAGTTGAATCAATGATAAACTTTTCAATTTTACATGAACCTTCCCACACTGCCCAGCGAGCACAAAAACATCTCAGAGATGTTAAAAGTACGAGATTTCGAGAAATTGAACCTCCACTGCGATGTTTTGTTCAGACATGAATAGAACTATTATAGAACAGCCAGTGTCCGCCGCAGGCGGCAGTTATCGAGATGTCCTTGATATGTCACAAAACTACCTTCTCCCTAGTTCTTTTTAAAGCTTTTTCATGGACACAACAAAACATTTTCAACGCGACTTGCGCACATTGAATGGCTGTGAAAAAAACATTTTCGAGGTACTTTTCTGAAGCCTTTTGTCAAAATGAACTTTTGCATTAAAAAGGAAACAGAATTCAAAAAACAAATCAAAATATTTTTAGTTGGCAAAGTTTTTTATACTGTGAACGAGTTTTTGTGTACGTAATATTCCTATTTGTCATATACACTCATTAGTATGTAAGTTTTCTATTTTTTTTTCTTTTTTTAGTTCGTAAGTTTCTTAGTATCTTTGACTATTCCTATACAATGTATGTTGTCAGTTATGGAAAATAAATGATTTGATTTGATTAGGATTCCATTTCCCTTGAATGAAAAAATGCATTAAATAGAGATTGAACATAAAAATATTTTCTTGATATGAAATTACCTTCTTAATCGGTTTCTGAGTAGTGTTTACTACACACAGACATATAATTGGAAATAGGTTTCCCAAATTTTGAAATGTTCTCCACAATGCATAATTTTGCAACTGCGAAGAAGCTGTGTATTGATGAATTCGTACTTTTATATATTGATTACACTGAGGCACCGAACAACACATCTTGCATCTGATGGTCATCATTACAAACTAAATAAGTCTTTTAACACAATAAACTTCACCAAATTCCTTTCTGTTCGTTAGCAGCGTGATGTAAGCGTGACACGCTACAAACGCGAATGCCAATTCCGAACAAGAAGAACAAAATCGGAAACAAATCAGAAATCATCGTATTGTGACGTAAGCATGAGCCGTTGTGGTGGGGCAAACAAATAAAGAGCACAAAAGAACAAAAACAATACTTTCAATATCCTTCTAAGACCTCTTTGGGAAGTGCATATTACGCCTCAAAAAACATCCTCATGCCTAAATTTCTAAAACATCCCAAAACATCCCAGGGATACCTCTCAGTAGGCAAACAAAGAAATGCCACAGAAGAACAAACACAATACTTTAATATCCTTCAAAGACCTCTTCGGTCAGTGCATATTACGTCTCAAAATAACATCTTCATGCCAACATTTTCAAAACATCCCAGGGATGTTTGTGCTCGCTGGGTGATATCACTATCCATAATAATTCAACACACCCGCATCAACATAAAACTGCAGCAGATAATAGTATGATTCACAAGCTAGTGAATGTCCCTGTTTCAGAAGTAAATCTCAATAAAGAACTCAATATCATAACACGGATTGCAGTCAACAACGGATAGAACGTCGATTCGATAGACAGTATTCTTTCTAAAAAACTCCATAATAAATCTATTCAAGAAGTTTATCTTACCTTCAAAAATAATAATCAAAATTAGAGAAGAAGAAAGATTAGCTTCATCCCTACATGAACAGAACTTAAAAGTAGTATATAGAACAAATAACACGTTGGGAAGGTTTATCAAAAATAATAAAGACAAAACTTCTAAGCGGTGGACCAGGGTTCAAATCCCGTAGCGGTCGTGTTTTTTTTTTCAATTTGAATGAAAGCCAGACATGTACTATCCCTGATGACGGTCAGAGTCTCCTATTGGTACTGACACATCAATTTTTACAGCAATTTTTCTGTTCCTGCCAATTCTGGCCAGCATAATTGTTACATTATTCAGAAGCGAACACGACAATATTTTTTTTCGAACTGATTTATTTCAACTGAAGGAACACTAATTTATATCGAATTCATAACTACTATTTTTGTAAAACGATTCATATCACGCCGTATATGACCACAATATTCTCTCAACTGTGATATGACTGTCTCTCTAACACTCGCTGCTTGACTGACTGACGGCGGCGGTTCGGCCGTACTTATAAGTGTGTCCATTTAGTGCGTAATTCATAGATATCTCGAAAGCCAAAATATATAAAGAAACGTTGAACAAAAAACTACTTCAGTTACTGGAGCTGCTTATTTAAAGAATATTTTCAACATTACTGGGTGTTCTATAAAAGCGGGACGACTAGGAGACGAGTTTTTTAAGTGGAACACCCAGTATTGTTCATTCGGAATTTATTCCACCGAGGTTTACCTTCACATCGCTGAAAAAAAAATTGGAATCGGTTGCGGCGTTGCCAAGTTATAATTGATTAATCTATTTTTACCACTAATAAGGATAGAGTCATGTTGAATTGGGCATGGTATATTCATTTATTCAAATTTTGAAAATATTCTTGGCATATGGCAGTATCAAGGTCTCACGTATACCAATTCAGTAATTTTGCGACATGTTCTTCAACAGGGTGCTCAATTTTGCATTTAAAATTTGCAAGATTCTGATATTCATTAGAATATACTTCAAATGGAACACCCTGTATTTCAATTCACAAATCTATTCCGACATCTTTGCCTTTCCATCGCTGAAAAAAAATCGAAATCGGTCGCGGCGTTGTCAAGTTATGAATAATTTCCTTATTTTTACTACTATTTCGGGGTAATTTGTACGTCATAGTTCTTCCATTTATTTGTGTTGTGGAGATATTGCGTTGCTACGGTATATTCAAAATTCTTCATTAACCATTCATATATTTTTTTACAATAGGAACATTTACAGGCTCTCCAAGTTTGAATTTGAAACAGAGTGGGTTTCGACAAATTGATCCAAAATGCTACTTCTATTATTTGTGTAATGACCTGTCAAACATCGCCAGAATCGAAATATATCTTGAATTACTTATTTATAGGGCACAATTTTGAAGATTTCTGCGCCACTAAAGATGATGGAACCAGATATCCAATTTATAATTCATGTGTTTGTGAGAATTTCAGGTATTTTTCCGTGTATAATTGTGCTGCAGCGGGTTTTTTGGGAAACTTGATGATAAATAATGGGTTGACGCTCCGAACTAGAGACTGTTATCAAAATAGAAACACTTTGAATTAGGTTCAACTGTTTGAGCAAGCCTTCAGACCACTTGTCTGGAGGCCTTCCAGACCTCTGTTTTAAAGGCAGACGTTGCTGTTTGTTTGTTTCACATAGGTACATATAATTTGAATCATAAGTAATAAGATTACGAAATATTTCAAATTTGGACAATGCACATATTGTAAAAATACCTGAATGATCTATGTAGAACCTCGAATGTCATGTGGATGTGACAAGCAATATTTCCACACTCAAATCATATAAAGCAACCTTATGCCTCATAAGAAGCCCTGAGATAGTGATAAACATAACGAAATTACTCATAAC